TTTTTTTTTTTTTTTTTTTTTTTTTTTTTATAATCATGACTGGGTCTCGGAGTTTAGAGGACGTCTTTCTGGCCGATCTCATCCGCGAAGCCAAGGAAAGTTGATCTGAGCGGACTCGAATATCAGCAGAGCGGCCATTTCCCTTTTCTTCTATTGTCTCCTATATTTCTTCATATCATCTCACTCGTTTATGGTGCTATGGATACGGAACGGCGAACTTGAGGATTCCTATGCTTTTCTTCTTGTGCATCTCATTATACTTGTTTGGCGTGAACTACATTTAATATTAGACTTCCATCTTGTCGCCGGTTACATGATCTCTCCGACTTGTTTCTCTGTTTGTTTTTCGAGCCTCTTTACCTTCTATTGCCTTTCTTCGATCGTCGATAATTGGCCCGGGGTTGTTTACAGCGAAGCATATACCATTCAATTGTGCCTCTATAAAAAAGAAAAAAGAAAAAAGCTGAGTTCCATCGGAGTTGATCATGCAATCATGCAAAGCGGCCAGTGGCTGTCTTTTTCTGTTTCTGTTTGTTAACCGGGATTAAGCGCATTGCATCTGCCATGTGTTTTCTGTTATCTTTGCCTGTTCCTGCAACGGCCCATGTTTAGATAACTGGTCTCTGCATTAGATAACTGGTCTCTGCAGGGCGTTGCGTTTCTGTTTCATATATGCCTTTTGTGTCTTGTTTGTTGGTGCTGCTGCTGTTTGTTCCTTTCTGCTAATCTACAGTTTGTGTTTAGTTTTGTTGTTTTGTTTGCAGAGAGTTGGGTTCAAAAATCTGCATTCTTTTCTATTCTATTCGTATACCGACAGGAAGATAATGACCCTGGCATCGTAGCGTAATAGACATCGCCTGGTAGTACTATAAATATATAATTGTGTTTATCTGTTGACTTTACAAGCATACAATCAAGGCTTGTGTTATTGGTACCAAATACAACTGTTAAGCTTTCTGTCATACACTCTGTTTTGGCATGGTGACACATCGTGGCCATCGGTTATCCCCGGTGATTCTCTGGATATTCACGGGATCCTCAAAGCCAGAACCAGGGAGCACCAAAGCTAATTGAGCGATATTGAATCTAGTACAGTAGTTGCATCACTGCGGAGAGGTACTTTCTATTATTGATTGGCGTGATCCACGCTGCATAGTCTGAGTACTACTGTATCGAAGTCTAGAGCGTTAGTAATCCACGGTAGTGATGTGGTGTGGTGCCTTGACAGGCAACAGATGAACAAATGATATGATGATATGCTGCGGAGGATCGACTGATGTGAGACTCGTGGGGAATGCAGCTTTCATCATACATACTCTGACATAGTATTCCGTAGTGAACAGTGGTGCAACCGCTGCAGTCCAACCGTTAAAGTAAGGGAAAGCTGACCTTCTCCGCACTTTACGTTTAGCTAGAATCGAAATCGAGACCAGGGCCCTGGTCGATATGGGAAGCTCTATTATGCACGAATGTGTGAATTCGGATATTGCCCCGAATGAGCGTAATGACTCGCATGCCAAGGTGTATTTTTGACAGAATACGGTACAAGGAAAACGAAGGCAGCCAGATTCGAGGATCATGTGATACAAGTGAAATTCTAGAAAAATACTGAAGTTTTTTTTTTCCGGTGTAACCCATCAGGAACAAAGGTGGAAAGGATGAAACTCGTCGATGCACTGATCAAGCATACATCATGAGAGTCTGAGCCAGTCACCATGCAAGGGTGCTATGACGTTGATGTAAATCCGGTAAATCCTAATTGATCAGACCATGGAACTTGATCAACTCATATATTAATTGTTAGAGTTAGAGTACGGAGTAGAGTTAAAAAGAGTATCAGAATAGAAGAAATCAACTGACTCGAGACTAATCGATCGATCGGAAAATAACCACCGCAGAGCACCTTCCTGAATTGGGAAAAGTCTCTTGGTCGGCCCCGAGGATCACCGACAACCGGGTGGACCCGGGTGGCAAAGCTTCTGGAACAAATCCTCCAACCACAACCCGTCAATCAATCTCACGTGAGCACGGGGCGGGTTTTTTTTTACGTTTCAGCGTCGGCAAACTCTCCACTATTCGTACTTTGATTGGCTACGGTGAGGTATGTCCACGCAAGTTCTTTTCCAGAATGTGACGCCAAGGTGTCATTCGCTGCCTCTCTGTAATCGCTCCCTTACTCAGAGTACTTTGTCGGCCAACGGTTCATCCAACGCATTATTTTTGGAATTTTCTGAGCTGGCGTGTTCTAGAAGGTTTGTATTGTTTTATGATACAGAGTACGGAGTACATAGCATACACATACAGAGCAGTATTTGTAGTAAAGAGCTAACACGCGGCCGATGCAGGTTGCAGCCCTTGCAGCAGAGAACTAGACTCGAATCAGCAGTTGAGACCGGAGACTACTCCATCCTCCGTCGTACAGCTAAATCAAGGAAATCCGGTTTTCTGCGCACTAGTACGGTACGCTAAACTTACTCTATGGTGGTTGTACCAGAGTATCATGACTACATACTCTGTAGTATCCTCGCACTTTACCTCTGCTTTACCTCTACTTTACCTCAGACTGAAAGTTTCTTTGTGCAGATCGACCCGGTGACTTTGATTGCCTGACTGATTCAGGCCGGGGTCTCCGTCACTATCTGTTCTTGTACTATGGAAATACAGCAGAACCCCTTGCGATGCTTGGTGGCTTGGCGCCACGCAGATCCTGTCAGTGAGGAGCCAATCAGGGGGTCGATTGGTGGTCGGAATATCATGATAGAAAATAACAACTGGATGGGGTGATTGACTGATACTTCAATGGTGTATGTAGTACGGGAAACATTCTATACTAAGTAGAGTACTACTGAGCTCTGAGTATTTGTATATTCACAAATATCCTGTTCATCCTATTCAATTATCTGTATATATGTACAAGTACTCCGGTGTATCCTATTTCATTCTCTGTAAAGTGCTAGTACAGTAACTCTGTACTCTGTAAAGCGCAGTGTTCAGGGGCCTTCTTATCAGCATGACTAAGACCCACTGCGAAGATCTTTCTCCTCTCGCTTGATCCAGCCAATAAGCTACATCTGCGCCCTCATTTCCAAATCCTGTATGACTCCACACCATCTAGAAGGGGCGTTAGTTTCCTGTTCTTACAGCAACTGTGTTATCATGTTATATGCTATATCGTGTACAGAGTACTCTGTAGAATGCTATGATTTTGTTTGTGTATGTGCAGTACAGAGTACAGTACTTGGACATAACATCCTTGATCTCTGGCTCGTCGGAAAGTATCGTCATGGTGGGGCGGATACGGTATGGTAATGATTACAGTATCAAATGAATCCTGTCGTTTCGGTGGATCCGCAGAGCGAGAGAGAGGGAAAAAAAAAAAAAAAAAAAAAAAAAAAAGATATAGACAGTCTGAAGAGATTAATACATACACCGAGGTATCGATTTTTTTCTTTTTCTTTTCTTTTCTTGTTGTATAAAAAAAAAAAAAAAAAAAAAAAAAAAGTGGGAATGCAAAAGTCGCTTTTCGCAGCGATCGATGCGCTTTTGTACGCTTTTGCTTGTATTTCAACTTCCGCTCCCCTCCCTTCTTATTTTCTTTCTTGACTTTCGGTTTTGGTTCTGATATTGCCAGACCTATACAATTCTTCTCTTATTGTTCACTCTTTGTACATTAGCCACTTCACCCGGCATCTCCGTCCAACTAACTAATCTCCTTGTCCCGGCGTTTCTCCTCTTTCTTTTTCCCCCTGGAGGATTCCTTTCGTTGCCGCCTATAAGTCCTACTACTATTGCGCCCGACCCGTGGTGTTTCACTTTAAAGTCTCCCGCCATCGTTTGACTCAGTCAAAGCAAGCATCCATACGCATATATAATTATAACATCATAACCCCCCCCGGAGAGGATCCCGGAGACCGTCCCCTGCGGAAGTCAAGCCACGGTATACCGACCGAAATGCTGCTGAAGAAGTCTCAAAACAACCCCCCTCGGTCCTTTTGGAATCACTCTCCCAGCTCGACTCCCGAACTTTCTCCCACATTGTCCTCTTCCGATAGCGAATTCGACGAAGAGATGGACTCTTCGTCGGGATCCCGACCGATCAGCTTTTCCGTTCCCCGGAGCGCTTACTGTTCGATGCGCCCGTCGCTGGAACAAGTCCTCGCCAACACCGCCCCTCCACCGTACACTCTCAGCGCATTCATGGCCTACCTTTCTCAGAATCACTGTCTCGAAACTCTTGAATTCACTCTCGAGGCCAAGCGGTACCGCGAGACCTTTGAAGCAGTAACCCACCAGCTGGGCGAATACCCATCCGCTAACATCGATTGTCCCGAATGCCAGCACCTGTGCATGCTGTGGCAGCGACTCTTGACGGCGTACATTCTCCCCGGCTCCCCTCGTGAGATCAACGTGACCAGCGACGTGCGCGACAACATCCTCCGCCAGGCCGCTGTCAACCCCCCGCCTCACCCACAGGTTCTGGACGTCGCCGTCAAGTTGACACACGAACTGATGGAGGAGTCGATTTTCATGCCCTTCCTCAACTCCCATTCAACATCCGCCTACAGCATGCCCTCGTACTCGTCCGAGTTCTCCCCTCCCAGCGACGACGGTGTGATGGTGATGGGCAAGTCGAGCTTCGAAGAGCAGCAACAGCACACGGAGAAGCGGTCTCGTTCGAAGTCGAAGCGTCTGACTCCCCCATCATCCGCCAAGGAACTTGGATCGCCCTTTGTGGCCAGCAGCCACTCCAGCAAGTCCAACTTTGGCCTCAGCATGATGACCAGTCTGGGCAAGTCTGGTCACCGGAGTGGTCAGATGCCGAGTCCTGGTGGCAATGACCTTTCTCTCACCGATGACTCGGGGTCTAACGCTAGCATGGGAGAACTCATGACTCCGCCGACTACTCCGCCATCGACCGACCCGTTCCCGTTCCTCAGCCAGAGCCCCAAGAACCGCACCGAGAACCCATGGAAGAAGATGTCCATGATGCTGGGGTTCAAGAAGCGCGGGAACGCGAATCGCGACATGAAGATCTTCGGCATGGATGATTGACTACTACCTGCCGCAGTGCTCTTGCTGCGGTATCTATTTACTACACTTCACGCTTCAACGCTTATAGAGGGAATGATTTGACTTGCATTTCTACGACACGACTGGTCTTGTTTAGATATAATGAGCGACGTTCGCCATGCTTGCCCTTTCTTTTGGATATGAGTGAACGCATTGTGCATTTCCGGCGCTTTCTTTTGTTTCTATTTTCCCTTGGATACTTTTTATTTGGTTGGCGTTTGGTGACCAAGCGAGCGATTTGGTTTGCATTTGTTTTGAAAAAGATTTCTATACTTATAGATAGAGCATGGTCCTACATTGGACCTGGTGGCCTTTCGTTAGGCTGGCGTTGGTGTTGATTTGCGGCGAGGTTAATATTACCTCGTCTTACCTGTTTTGGGACTGCATGTTGGCATTTCATCATGTTGTTGCATATGAATGTCTTGTCTTGTCTTACTAGATAGTATCATGCGAATACCCATTAGATACCCTTCTACTCTCTTCACTACTTTGTACAACACAAGAAAAGTCCCAACTTCCTGGTACATTAAGCAACCGAAACCCTCCGTCCCGGCCTCGTCTCCAACGACGCAACATCCAACTCCCATCCACACTCCTTCAGCGCAGATAAATACTCCTCGAATCTATCTCCATGATTCAAGAAAGTCAACGTCTGCTCCATCACTCGCAGTACTTTATCATCATAATCACCGCCCTTCTCTTTAACTGGAAACGAGGACGAAATCACCCGCGCAGCAAGCAACCCATGCATCCACGCTTTCAGCTGCGAGTGCGGCGTGGATGATTGTTTCAGGAGGATATTCGCAGTCCATTTCACTTTAGTAGTTGTACCAATAGTGGTGACAGAAGATAGATAGAGGATGTATGACTCGTTCGTGAAGATGGTTGTCAGATTGGGTAAAAGATTGTGGTCGGTGCTGTTGAGGAATTGGTTGATTGATATGCCGATATTCGCGTATCCGAGGGTAACCACCTGTCCTGCTTTGTTGGAATACCATTTTAATATCTCATCTTGTTCGAAGATAAGTTCTTTGCTGGAGACTTGTGCTGGTGTTAGGAGGTTCCATTTCCTTTTCTCTTCTTGTATATCAGTCTGTGGCTGCAACGGGGCTCCCATCCCCCCGCCCAATGTCAGAAATAAAAGGGCAGGATCTGAACCTAGAAGCGTTGAGAAGAGGATATTTGCGCGTTGGCGGTTGAGCGTGGTCATTTGCACGGAGCGCACGGCGAGGTAGTTTAGGGATAGGTGCAGTATTAGCAGGGTAAGGAGGGTGATCCATGTTGTTATGGGGGTTGTTATGTGGGTTATTATCAGGGAGCCAGTCTGCATATCGTTAGTAGTTTGGTCTATCGTTAAGGAGGAAGGGTACTGACCAGCATCCCAATAAGCGAGATGATAGTCTCCTGCGATGAATCTTTCTATACCCAGTCAGCAGCGGCCTTACCAGCCAAACAACCCCAGACTACAGGGGCAGGAAAGACATACAGCATTAACATCCCCCAAACTCCCCCTCCCACCCCTAACAAAATGCGCACTCAACGTCGCCTTACTACTCCCCCCCGCAACACCACAAAGCGCCGTCAACACCCCCGCCGCACTCAACACACCCACCCTGACAACACCAGCAGGCACCATCGGCGACAGACAATTCAGCACCATGCCCAGGTCATTGAAGACGTCCGCGGCGAAGCGGTACCGCTTGCATTCTGGCTCGAGGGCTGTGCCGATGCGGTAGGCGAATGCGATTGTTGCGAGGCGGGAGGCTGTGTCTTGGAGGGTGGAGAGGAGGAGCGCTGCTGTTGGGGTTGCGGTTGGGTTGCCGACTCCGACGCCTAGTTTTCTTTAGTATGGAGGGTTGAGTTTTGGGGAGGTGGAAGAGGTGGGGAGACCTTGTAGGACGGCTCTGGAGGCTAGGAGGCCGGCGATTGAGCTGCTGAAGGCTTGGAGAGAGTCCTGGGTTATTGGTGCATGCCCTTGGTGCTGGGTATGGAAGACTCACGAATATTTGGTATCTAGATTCGTTAGTTCAGTGCAACAAGTACATGTACGTTGACTTACGGGAGATAATCATCAGTAACGCTATGCGGATAACCAGCCGGGAGAAAGACATCCCCCAGGAAGCTCATTAACTTGGCTCGAGACCATGACGAGGGTGCTGAGGTTGGAGGCTGACATTGTTAGTGACATCTTGTATCGGATCCAGGTTCACTTACAATGTGGTCAATCCGCCCTGTCTGTGCGCCATTGCGGCTCTGTTTCTGAGACTCTGTGTAGACATACGTCGCGGTGGGGTGATTGACTTCATCCGTTTCAATCAAAGTGATGGCATTCCGATTATTAGAGGCCATCGTGATCCGGTTACTTGATACGTTGATGATGCCGAGAATGAAGTCAATTGGTACGCGGCTGCAGGAGGCACGTGAACGCGCACATGTTAAATGGTTAACCGTTAACGGTTTGACTGGGATCCTATTTTCGAGGCATGTGCAATCAACCGCATTAATCAAACTTTTCAGTAAATTTCCGCTAAGAATGTATGTACGCGATTCCGTAAACCCTGGCATTCCTCCCGTACATCACAAATGGAAAAACCATCCGATAGTATCCGCCCAAGTAGCATAAAAAGACATTCCAGAATCCAAAAAAAAAAAAAAAAAAAAAAAAAAAAATACCGCTAAGAAGAGAAACACAAAACCACCAGCGCCATGACTTGAACGTAAAAAAAGACAAAGACAAGCAAGAAGAAAAGGTAATAAGCATGACGTTCTCCTGTTCACGAATATATCATGCCCCACGTATAGATTCAACATCCCCCCTTAATCGTGTTCGCCGACGTAAAAAAAAAAAAACCCATGGCCAGTCAGTAGTGACCATTGTTCTTATCATAAAACATCCCTCGCATCATATTCGTGCCCATTCGCGCGTCGAAAATATTTTAGTTGCAGAGGCTGGCACCGCCGGTCTCAATGGCCTCAATCTCAGCCTCGGACCATGGCAGACGGTGGAAGCGGGAAGGCAATTCAGCGCGGTCAAAGAATTGACCTTCCTTGGGCTGGATAGGACCCAACGAAGCACCCGGGGCACGGCCGATGGCGCCCTGGCTGAACGAGGCACGTCCAAGAGGACCGTGCTGCTGGGCCTTGCTGCGGTAGGCAGCGAACGAGTCGGGCAGAGCACCGGTGGGCGAAGCGGGGTGAGCACGAGGGCTGTGGTCTACCGATTCTGTTGATTCATTCAGAATTAGCTGCGTGTCACTCAATGGCAGCGGGGAAAGGACTTACGAGGCACCGAACGCTTGCCAATGAAGCGAATGAGAGGGGTGTGGGCGGCGTTGCGGAGAGCGAAAGTGGCGCGCATTGTGATTTATTAAGGTGATTAAGAGTTCGATTTAATCGAGTATGTTGAATGTAGATGTTCACAGAAGATGGTGAATTGGAAAAGGGAGAAATTTGACAGTCCGGTCCCGTCCGATCCGACCGCGGTGGGTGTTGTGTGGTGGGTAGCTATTATTCCGGAGCTAGTGAGGGTGGAAATTGTTGAGTAACAGTTGGAGTCGCGTTGTATGCAACAGAGAGAGTGAGGAAATGGTATTAGAGAAAGAGAGATGGGGAATGAAGAGAAGAATGAAGGGAAGAAATAGAGGAGAAGAATGAAAAGAAGAGAAGAGGAGGGGAAGACCAGGCCTGATTAGTGATAAGAAATTCGGGGATTGTTACTTCAAATTCCCCAGATCATCTGATTCTGCATCATGTGCGTTTCCAAGTTCTGGTGGTGTGCGCTACGGACTTGTACTACTATCTTGCTCTTTACCTGATGGCTATGAAAACTTTGACACATTTTGAGCCCTGATAAACCTCCAACCTCCGACATTCTCCGGATTTGGCTCGGATCACATGATCGACACACTAGCCCTGTTGGGTAACGACCTGGGAAGCTTCATCATATCATAACCATATTCCACCACAAACAAGCCATTTCGGCCCTCCTTCCACCAACGAACGACATTGGCTGCACCATGCACGAGTTGTTGTTGTTCGCCTCCGTCCCACTCCACCAACATCATGAGCTCCGACAACAACTCGCCGGATTGACGGCTATGCAGCCTCGCCACCGTCTCGAACGGCGTCTGATCTTCAAGGCCTATCGCAAACCTGGTGTGATTACGACTCGCGTCGGTGCTAGCCAGGATGTTCAGGGCGTTGACCTGCAGCGATTGAATAAAATGTTAAACGGTGGCATGTATTACACGCAAGTCGTCGGTCCGGTTCTTCACGAGAACTTTGCTACTGCTGGAGTTACCCGCGGAGAAGGAGGAGATGATCCCGATGCGGCGATGTCGGGCATTAACGAGTCCCAGAAGGATTCCTTGTCTCATTCGAGCTATGATTATGAAAGCCAATCCTGGAAACTTGAGTTCAGGGATATTCCCGAAGCGGGCACTCGGTCCGCAGTCACTGCTCGCTTAATGGCCAGTGCCGGTCTACCCAAAGGCGACATCGTCGAGCCCATGAATGCTTGGGGATATGGGTTAGTCTGGCCATAGTTCTCTGCATATGATCATTGCTGATACTTTCCAGTTTTGTCACCGAATACGTGGTAGAAGGTGATATTTTTATTCTTAACGACATTGTCATCTTTTTACATCGAGTTCTTCACTATCCCTCGGAGTCCTCGGATCCTCACGCCCCTCGACAGCAATTGCCTCCGTTCGAGCAGATGACGCCGCTGGACAAGAGTGGAAGCTACGTGCTGCAAGCCGCCATAACAGTCCAAGACGGTGGAAACCAGGAGACGATGAGGACTGCATCGCAGCATTTGTTTGGTCTTCGCGAGCAGCTTCGGTCGGCCGTTCGGCTGGAGCAGGCGGATCGACTTTCATTGGACACGCGGGCAAAGTGACCTCGCTTTTCTTTCCGTTTTCTTTTTTTTTAAGCCTGTTATATACCCCTTCTGTTTGAGTTTAGACAAGCAAATAAGCATGCTTGATCCTTGGTACTGTACGGAATACTGCCCGTAGTTAACCACATCGTACATGTAGTGAATAGAGGACCAGGACGGAGGATTGTCCGGCAGACCTCTCTATTTGTCTTCTTCCTTTAATGAGTACTGCCGTCATCTACTGAATACTACTATCATCGAACTCATCTAGCTCATCTACAGTGCAGAGTTGCTGTTTATCAATACCGTGATGGGTAATATGGAAAGCATGTGACCTCGTGAAGCTTAACCACGCGCGGCGCGTCTGATTATTCCGCCTCCACTCCGCAAGCTCCGTCGACCTGGTTCCTTTGCTTCATTTTTTTCATTAAGACTAACAATTTACCATAATTATTCGCATATGCTGAAAATGGCGGGGACTAACGCCGCGAAGAGAGCGGCGTCCCCCACCCGCGCCATCTCCCCACCCCCGCTGAAGAGAACCGCGGCGACAACGACGAAGACGACGAAGACGACAGTCACAAGTAAGACTCAATCCAAGCGCGCAGGATCGCAAATCGAAGACTAATCAAATGAACCATTATCTCCAGAGAAATCAGCCGCCAACTTCTTCACCCCTGTCTCTCAAAAGAAGCCGGACTCCCTCGCCTGGCGGATAGTCAACAACACCCTGATTGTCGGAAAGTACTCGGGGCAGCAGCAGGAATCGTCGGCCGAGAAGAAGCAGAAAATCGCTGCATTTGATCTGGTCAGCTGCTTTGGTTTTGGTTAGCAGATAGGATTGGACACGGTGCTGACAACCGCAGGACTCTACTCTGATCACGTCGGCGTCTGGGGCAACCTTTGCGAGAAGTCCAAAGGACTGGAAATGGTGGAATTCCTCGGTACCATCTCGCGTTAGGGAACTAAACTCGGAGGGGTACGTTTGCTTATAGGAATCTTCTTGGAGTCCACCGCTAACCGAAGCAGATACCAAGTCGTCGTCGTCTCGAACCAGAAACAGATCAGCTTGAAGAAAGGCGCTACGGAGTCGAAAAGCTACAACAACTTCAAAGAAAAGGTTACCGCCGTTTTAAACGATCTGGATGTCCCGTTGAGCGTCTACGCGGCGACTGAAAGTGATGAGTACCGCAAGCCCCGGCTGGGAATGTGGAGGGAGTTCCTTGAGGATTACGATTTGGATGTGTCGGGGGTAGATCTGAAGAGCTCGTTCTTCGTCGGGGATGCCGCTGGCCGGCCGGGGGATCACTCGCAGGTGGACAGGTTGGTCTTCGTTTTCAAAGTCTATATCTTATTGATCATCTGAGCTGACTATTACCAGGGGATTTGCCGTGAACATCGGGGTAGATTTCAAGACACCAGAGGAATTCTTCCTCAACCAGGCTCCGGAAGCGTTCGAGAAGACCTTTGATCCTACTTCATACCTACACACTGGTGAACAAGACCCTCCGCTTTTTACCCGTTTACATCCTCTCGAGCTAGTCATTTTCTGCGGCAGCCCTGGGGCTGGGAAGTCAACGTTCTACTGGAATAATCTCGAGCCGCTGGGATACAAGCGTGTAAATCAGGATATTCTCAAATCTGTATGTTCCCCCGGCCAACAGAGACACGAGAGACACAAGCTAACCCGTGTAGCGACCTAAATGCCTCAAAGTCGCGCGAGAACATCTGACTGATGGGAAGTCTGTCGCTGTCGGTATGTTTTACGCCCTTGTTTTCTCTGCTTGCTTCGTGCAACATGGTACAGTGTACAGAGGACACTGTGTATTCGTCAGAACCCTAATTACGCATCACCATTCTCTACTACCCATCGTTCAGCTACACATTGAAATAAAATGAAACCCTGCTAACGCTAACGAAAAAAGATAATACCAACGCCGACCCAGAAACACGGGCACACTGGACTTCTCTCGCAAAAGACCTCAAGATCCCCATCCGCTGCGTTCTGTTCCTCGCCTCCCCAGAGTTGTGCAAGCACAACAACGCCGCGCGTGCTGTAAATCGCACCCTGGTACGTCTTCCCTACCCTCCCCAACTCACATAGGAAGAAGACAACTAATACGTATAATAATAGAACCCCGAATCTCGAACCTTCCTCCCCGGCATCGCATTCGGGGATTTCGGCCGACGCTTCAAGGAGCCCTCGCTTGACGAGGGACTTAGTGATATCATCCGAGTTGAATTCCGGTTTCGTGGTGGGGACGAGGAGAAGAGGTTGTGGAGTCAGTATTATTAGTGATTCTTCGTTTCGGTTTTATTATGCCTGGGGCATGGGAAAAGTGTTGTTTTACGTGTTTGATACCAATATGGACGCGCTTTAGATGGATGGTATGTAATTGTATTACATAAGACTATTTACTTGAGGAATAAATGACAACAGAAGCGAATCAAGTCTATTATACAGGACATGGGTATATGCAGATGATAAATGCTTGAAAAGAATGCCTTTTGTTTTTTGGATTCAACCCGCTATTACTTTTGTAATAAATAAAATAATGAAACATGATAATCATTAGCGATAGATAAACAATTATCTCGTAGTAAATGCGCTATAAATAATGCAGTCAATACAGGGAATCATGCCATGCCATATCAGTAAGAAACGAAGAAAGAAAAGGATCCATCAAGGAATGCAGGATGGAGGCGAGTAAGTAGTCGCCAGTCCATCGATGGTCGAGGTTCGGGGGCATCAGTCATCAGTCATCAGTAAAGTAAACCATGCAAATGGAGACAAGATATCACAAATAAATAGAATAAAAACATTAGTCGTCACACACGCTTCAAGTAAGAGAAACGCTCATTGATATGACACAAAAGTTGCACCAACGCCGGCCAGCTCGTAATGAAATGTCGTTAATGAGTGAGATGAAAGAAAGAATGGGAAAAAGGAACTAGGATCGTCCGATCAGATCCTGGAAGAACTTGAAGAAGTTGCGCTTCAGAGAAGGTCGCGGCTGACAAGGGAGACTCTTCATAGGACCGACGATCTCGCCATCACCCAGTTCTGGAAACTTGTTGTCGTGAAGACGGGGGATCTTGACTTGGTCGCATGGACCGAAGTGAGATTCGGTCAAGCTCAAAGTAGGTCCGTGAATCTCTTCAAGTTGCGAGTGCATAGCTTCGTGGTGGCGCTTCCATTCCCGGTTTGTGGCGCCCCACTTGGCCTCGGTCAGCTTGTAGATATTGGATGTGACACCGTAGTGTTCCCCGGTGCGGACAAGATGCTTGGCGAAATTGCACTGCGCAAGGTCCCAGTCATCCCGCAATTGGCAGAAAGAATCCATAGTGCAGGTGTCGGGCATGTACGGAGCTGGGTGGATGGTGAAATTCGCATGTCCCAGCTTGTTGGCCCACTCGTCGTTGGGGTCCGACATGTACAAGGGAGACGGTCCGTCTGACACGGAGCGCATCGTACTGGCGCTCGGGCGATTGTGGAATGAGGCCATGGACGGCTGGGACGACAAAGGCGGCGAGGGAATTGTGACCGATGGTTTCCACGAAGCTGGAATAGCGGCGGAGGCACAATTGTCGAGATTCAGTACGTCATCCGAAATGTCCGCCACTGTTGGTGACTCCAATGGCGAGGTCACTCCCGCAACAGCAGCAGCCATTGGATCGTCTCCCATGAACGGTGGCAGCAATGGAGTGCTAGCCTGGTGAGTGGAATCGCCTTCCTCCTCAAGGAACTGACGATTGGTACTGCCTGTATCGATTGGATGGACACCCGATTCACTGATGCATTCCTCGAAGATGGTCCGGGCAGGCGAGGGAGGGATGACGGTGGAGTCGATGCGCGCAACTGGGTACCCAGTTGGATTGACTAGGGCAGACGAAGCAGTGGAGCTAGTGCGAGAGCGCCAGTTATCCGGATACGAGGCATCGCGGTCTACATCCTCCGACTGTCGGGACCTCCAGCGACCGGATATGGTTGAGACGCGCGAGCTAATGCGAGAAAGACCCTTGGTGGACGTAATACTATCGGGACGTCGCTTCTTGGGGGAATGGGGGATTTCCATGCTGGCATCGGTCAGATCGTAGCAACCGAAATAATCGACGGCGGAGAAGTATGGGTTTTCGACGGATAAGCCTTGATCAAAGTGTTCTGCCACAAGTTAGTGTTTTCTTCTTTCCAAAGTCGCAGAAAAGTGTGAGGATAAACATACGGAAATATTCCTGTTCAAGATCCCTTGCTTCACCTGTGCATGGTTCCTCTTTAACACCAGTCAGACCATGGTCTCGGGTCGCACTCTCCATCGAGTTGCCATGACCGGGAGAGGGGACAAGAGAAGAGACAGAACTGGAGACTCGCGCATGGCCTTTAGACGAGAAGAGCGAAACAGCAGGCGACACGGGAGTTGAGGAGTCTGTAGTTCCAGGCGACTGAATCGAGCGAGAAGAGGAAATCGCCGATGGATCAGCAGCAGCAGCAGTAGCCGTCTCGGAACTATCGCGACGTTTTGCGTCGAGTAATTGAGAAAGTTTCAACATGATATGATAGCTATGACTGACTCTCAACGTCCAAAGAAATAACGTGAGAAAATAAGACAGTCAGAGGGATTGTATTGGATATCAATAAAATCTGACCGTCATAAGAGACATGGTCTATGCTGTTCTGCTTTTTTTTTTTTTTCTTTTCTTTTCTTTTTTCTGCCAAAGCGCGATGAAGCGCAGATAAAAAAAAGACGTGGCGGTGAACGAGTCGTACAGAGAGTAGAGTACAAGAGCCAACAGCAACGTGGACAATCTGGATTGACAGCAGAGTAAAAGCGTGGATGAGGGATAAAGAGAAGAGAGAAAGAAGATGATAGATGCAAAAGGACAGTCACCGACGCTGCGGTTGGGTACCGAGCGGTGTCAGCCACCACAAACAACGCTACTTTTTCTAAGCTTGTTACTGGTTCTTTTTACTTTCTTTTCTCTTCTGAATTCTTTCTTTAATTTTTCTTTTCTTTTTTCTTTTTTTTCTTCGCCAACCAAATCGCGATATCCACTGGACGTTGACACGCGAGTATCCATTCCCGGCCGTTCCGCGGATGCAGTTGGTGCAGCGGAGAGACCCCGGTGGTTGGTTGTGATGTATCTTGTATTCTACTCTGTACAGAGTACTTGTAGTCTTGCTATATTGTACTTGTACTTTATCTGCTCTATATATTGTATTTATACAGAGTACTTGTCTATCTGCTCTATTCTGTATATAATAACGTATTTGTGCGATGAAGTCATAATACACGATACCGCTAACCCCAAAATAGCAAGAGTTCAGGTATTCTAGACTGGCCCAGTGGACCGGATCATGGCAGCCCGTGGCCGGGGACCAATTAGAGTATTGTTTACATACCGGTACGTTCATTCTTACACAGGGCTTGAACGGTGTACAATAATACTATGATAACTATGTGTATACTACGTACCACTATGACCTGTACATAGTAGTAGAGAGCTGCTAGAGTTATCTAATTCTCCAATTGATCTGTACTTCAAACTCCAACCTGAACTCGTCTCCAACTGCTGTGACAGCAGATCAACGTTCGGTTCCATGGCTCTGAGCAAGAAAAATCCTTCAAGAAGAAAAGAATCCATGGTTACATAGCTCCGTAATCGGCAATGCGGGATTCTCTCGGTTAATTCACCGTGCTCTATACCGATTAGAACATCCATACTGTACTCTGTAAGTACTCTGTACAGACCCGCCCACATACTTGTACATACAAGTAGCTGTACGTTCTCCATACTCGGGAATGCAAGATAGAGTTCATCACGTGACATGACTTCACTCCAACCTCATCCCATCCCAAAACGGAAACGTCACTGCTCCAACCACGGCGACAATCACCCAAGATGAGATCCCACGTGCCAATTCTTTGCTTGGCCAGCCTTGCTGCGGCCTCTCCTCATCTCCAACTTCAATCACCGCTCAGTTTAAGCAGTAGCAGCGATAACAGCGGCGTCATGGGCTCCCTTGACGATATTATCAATGCTTCTCCGTTTCTTTCCTTCCATCGTGATCTCGTCCAGATAGAATCTATCTCTGGTAACGAATCGCACGTGGGCGATTTCATTGTGAACTTCCTCGAGGAACGGGACTTTACTGTTACCAAGCAACCCGTTGACGGCGAGAGCAGCAAGCGCTTCAACATCCTCGCCTACCCGGCTTCTCGCTCCCACCCTGAAATCCTCCTCACATCACACATCGACACAGTCCCGCCATTCATCCCATACTCTCTCTCCCGCGTCGACAACACCAGTAGCAATGATAAAAAGAACATCCGCATCGCCGGCCGCGGCTCCGTAGACGCCAAAGGCAGCGTCGCCGCCCAGATCTTCGCCGCCCTCGACATCCTCAAACACGACCCCTCAGCTCCCATAGGCCTCCTCTTCGTCGTTGGCGAAGAAGTCGGCGGAAACGGCATGCAGGCCTTTTCCAAATCACCTTCTTTCAACCCCTCCCCATCTCCCTATCACACTTATATCTTCGGGGAACCCACCGAGCTGTCCCTTGTTGCGGGGCACAAGGGCATGCTGGGCTTCCAGATTGTTGCAAAGGGTCAGGCTGCGCATTCGGGGTATCCGTGGCTCGGACAGAGTGCCGTTTCTGCTATTCTTCCTGCGCTGCTGCGCGTCGATCAACTAGGCGAGTCGATTCCCGTTGAGAAGGGTGGGCTTCCGTCTAGTGAGAAATACGGCAAGACTACTGTCAACATTGGTCGTGTGGAGGGTGGTGTCGCTACGAATGTCGTTCCCGCTGCTGCTCGCGCGGATGTCGCCGTTCGTTTGGCGGCGGGGACCCCCGATGAGGCACGAGAGATCATCCGTCGCGCGATTAGCAATGCTACCGGCGATGATGGCGAGAGTGTCTACCCGGACTTTGCGGCCCGTCTGGAAGCCTACTCCCCTCAAGATATGGATACAGATGTTGAGGGGTTCGAGGTCATTACCGTAAACTATGGTACCGATGTACCGAATCTGGTTGTCCATCCTAACCGTGATGGCAAGCAGGTTAAGCGATACCTGTATGGACCGGGAACTATCTTTGTTGCTCACGGTGATCACGAAGCTCTCACCATTGCCGACCTCGAGGAAGCTGTTAGTGGGTATCGGAAGTTGGTTGAGGCTTCGTTGCGTAGATGAATTACGAGAGTATATAGATAACTGTATGTAAATGAACATCGCTCAATCACTTCTTCATTCAGCAGCTTTTTACTTCATTGTTCAATAAAAAGATGAACTTGATGGAAAGAGCAATAGTGGTTTACTGAAGCATAGTTTTTCATTTAAAATCTCTTCTTAAATACACCCGGCGGTTCAAGGCTAAGCGTGAGAACTAATCCATGCGGCAATATCATCCTCCGTCGTGGGCACGAAAAGCCACTTCATCGCGTCCACCGAGAGCTGATCATGACCCCCATCTGTCTCCCCACAGACAGATCGCTGACCAACGGGTAGTCTTTTCTTGTTAATCGCATCAGTCATTCTCATGATCCCGTCGATGCGTGCCTGACGCGAGCCATGCCAGAAGTCCAGCGCCTCGCTCAGGTCCATCTTCGGCGCCAACGAACTCAACAACACGGCGAGCGTATGAGAGTCTTCAAACGCTTGGTTGACGCCCTGACCTGAAGAAGGCGGGATAACGTGTGCCGCGTCGCCAATGATAATGATGCGTCCAGTGGGGGAGCACCGCCGTGCTAGCTTTGGCATGCAATGGTAAGACCAGAGCAGCAGGCCGTTTCTTTCTATCCCCATCTGGTCCAGAATGGACCGGGCCAGGGGGTGCCATTTGTCATAGTCCTTGCAGATTAGAGCGCAGAGTTTGTCCTTGTCGTTTGCTAGAGCTTCCCAGTTTGCACGGTCAAGTGGAGGGTGGGCGAATTGTCTGCCGACCATCAGCTCAGAGCCGTCGGGTACCTCGGGGGCCATGAACAATGCTCCAGGGCTGTCTTGAATTGTAGAGTTTTTGTTAAAACTTCTGCTGGGCCACGGGACTTTGTCTGTTAGCACATGGCCGTAAACGGATGCCAGGCCCATGTACTCGGGTAGCTCCGAGGTAACATGCTTGCGGACAGCCGAGTTGATACCATCAGACCCAATAAGCAGGGTAGCTCGTTCCAGCCTGCCATTGATCAGGAATGTAACACTGCCATCTGTCTCATCAACGACCTTTTCAAATCTGGCATCATACTCAACAGGAACCTCGCACTCCTTGAGCTTCACTTTCATCTCGTCGATCAAAACCTGGCGGTAAAGGCGATGGTTCTTATATCCGTAGAGCTGCTCTGTAACAGGGTTAGAATTGCCGCTAGTGTTTCCTTCGGCATCCTTCAGCTCATGCACTTCTGATCGGAAACACCGCAAAGCGACTTGCTTTAAGAGACCGAGCTTGTCGAGTACCCGACAGCCATTGGGACCCAAAGTCACTCCACTGCCAACTGCCTGAGCATCTTCGCTTCTGGTCTCGTAGATTCGGCATGGGATGGATCTTTGGTGTAAGGCAATAGCCATAGCAGCGCCCTGGTATAGAAAGGTAAGGTACGGAGTACTGGGAGCAATAAAGCACGAAGCACTTACACCAACTCCCGCACCAATAATTGCAACGTCTTCTAGAACACCTGCCATTTCGACCTCGATTCCGCAATTGAAGAAATGCTAAGGTCAAGAGCTAGGAGTCGAACTGTTTATAACGTCGCATTCTTCAGGGGTGGATTAGTCATTGGTATTTTTCTTGTCCGTTTTTCTTCTTAGGGTTCGGTCAATCATCAGACATTATTGCAAAAGTCCAGTATATCAACCACCCTACGATCCGCACGCTGGCCCCAGATCTCCAGGCAAAAAGCCCTAGAGGCCTGCAAACAATACATCACTGATTTCTCAGCCACCGTCACAAACCCTGATTATAACCCATATCGCTGGATACTCACTCACTTCAGTGTCATCCACGCTTGTGCTATCATACCCCCGCCCAACTCCCCTGTACCGGGTACATCACATAGTAGCCGCCGGCAGTTTGATGCCCTTCCTCTGTGCTCAGCAGCAGACTTAAAAGCTGCGTTAATGCATGATGTTGAAGAGACATGATCGCACAGTCAAGGCCCACGTTGAGACTAGACGTATTTGGTGCATTTGCTGTTCAAAAGTATATGTACTAAGCGCCTAAAATATAATGAAAACAAGCAAATAACTAAGGATCATGACTTAATAAGACGTGAGATCAAGAAAACTTTACGGGCAACTTTCTCTTATTACTTCTACTGCTGAACGATTGACAAATAAACCAAGGCGAGTCTGGTGAAAACAAAAAACATACAACAGCCGGGATTCGCTGGTGGTCACCCACCCAACTACTAACCGGCCGGCGTGTGGCTTAAGTACGGCTGAGCGGACGGGAAGCCCTGTTTTCCACACCCTATGGTCGTATGTACTAGAATGCTGGTCAAAGCAGTATATATCCAATTTTTTTAGTAGATGTGTCCCATACGGCACCATCGCAGCCCTACATAGACAAGTCCTTTGTCAGTACTTGCCGGTACAGCAACTACAGTTTCATGTGTTCCAGTCTTTGTAGAAGCAAAAATCCAGAAGGGGTTTGTACAAGATACGAACGATAAATATGTAAATCAAGTTGCGGGAAGTCCAGTCCGTGTAAATGTGAAGATGACATGAATAAGTTACCAATATGGGGAGATGCAAGTGTTAAGTGCTTGGATAAATATTCCACTGATTGTCCGCCCCCTCCCTCCAAACCAGCATGACAGAAAGTCACACCGGAAAAATAAAGCATCAGTCCAAAAATAGCTCTCCTGGGTTGGTTTGGCATCACTGGGCACTGGCAACGACCTGCAAAATCTCCCTCCACTCCGCAAGCGCCAGAAACAGTGACTCAGGCGCTTCTTCCGTATCCGTCCGTCCAAATCGTAGTGGACATGGCGACTTATCAAAAACCAGCCGATATGCATATGACTGTGAATACATGGAGGCCGCCATGCTCTCATAAGCCGCTCTAGGCATGCATCGCATACCCTTTTCCAGCCGGACGGTGTAAGTATGTGGTCTATAAGCACTCCTAAGGTCTTCATGCAAGTTGCGCTGGTCCAGAGGAACTAGAGGCTTATTGGGGGTTATATGTCGTAACATTATGTGTTGTGAGTGTGATTTTCAGATCGAATTGGGCTATAATTTGTGTCTTCTGCTGGTCCTGACTAGCATCATGACTGTCTATGCATATCTGGCCGAGTTTCTCGAGGTCCAATGATTTCCATTGGGTTACGGCAGTAATATTTGTACGTGCATCGAATATACGGCGCAAAAACATCTGTTTGTGAATGTCTCAGCGGCGTGTATCTGAAAAGGCGTCGAATCTGAAAAATCTCACCTCGTCCACGCCATTTCTATAAAATATCATCTGTATATATTTATCTGAGTCCAGATCCCAGGCTCCAGCGCACAGAATTGGGAGAGCGGTCTCAGGGGTAGTAGGCGCAGCGATAAGATCTTCAATGTCTGGAACACCTTGAGGTTTTCGATAATTGGCTACAGGCACAAATCTCGGCCAGAATCTCGGCCTAACATCGGTCTTGAGCAATCATAGGTCCTCCGGGTGTCCCCTCATATGCTCCAAGTCCTCATTGAGAAGAGTATCTTCACTGTAAAGTTTTGATTTTATAATTCTGCGTCTTGAAGGCCTTTTGCTTTTACGTGGTCGCCACGTAAATGGAAAGTCTTCTTTAAGCTTTGTCTGTATCTTCGGATTTTACAGTAATTGTGGCATCGGAACTCTGCGCAGTTAATATTAGTTAAACCAGTATATTAGTAGAATGACTCAATTCTTGTACAGAGACTCTCCTGTCCACTCATAGCAGATGACAGGCACATCATCATCATTATCAGATTTGCCGACATCGAGTAGGAAGAAGTAGCATCGATTGGCAAAGGCAAATACATCGTTATATGTAGCGCAGCGGTGGACCTTTCCAGGCTCGAAATCGCAATTCCACCGGTGCTGGCAAATGCGGTTGAATATAAAGTCGCATTTATTCATGTTGTCGGTTCCTGAAACCAAATGCATCAAGGTTTGGACTAATACCCGCACAGGCGGATATTCCGAGCCTTCGGTCTTGTTTTTAGTTGGCTCCATTGTTCTAGTGAGCGAGAGAAGCCGGAGGAATGGTATGAATATCGAAGCGAGAGGAGGAAGACTATCATTAGTTGTCACATGACAAACTGTGTAACCTGTCATGTCAGCTGGGATTGTTAGACGCTCAGCGCTTGACAATTATTTGGATTTTAGACAACGAGACTGTCCCAATTCTAAAGTGTCAGCAAACAATAGCTTGCTATTAATGGCCCAACCATGTGCCGACCTTGTCCTGCATGCATTGATACCACTCTATTATCATGGTTTCTTTTTGCTTCCAGTTGTCGTAAGCTGTTTGCTACAGATCAGTTCCATGGAGACCAGGTAGCATAAATACTGCCATACAATTCCATCTATTCCTGCTTCATCAAGTCACTATCTTCCCGGTCATCTCCAGGGAATCCCCCAGTTTCACAACCAAGAAGCCAGACTTCTTCCTATCTGAACTGCGGTTTCGGGAATTGTATGTAAGACTACTCTATGAATCGAAAATATAGCATACTAACACTGAAAGAAACAGAGAGAGATAAAATGTCCGCGAGTGCCTCCGACAGTTTTAAGGGCTCCGATGGAGCTCCTGATCCGAAGTGTGAAGTTTGCCATGGAATTGGCCACTATGAGGATTATGACTCGGAAATTATACGCACAGAATGCGAATTTTGCGAAGGAACAGGGCTTTTCTCCGAATACTTGGATTGTGGGCGCTGTCGTGGAAGGGGATTTCGCGAGCGCGAATCGGAGTTCCTGGTTGAAAAGGAATGCAACTGTCGCAAACCTTCACACTAACTAGTGAGGCTCATTGTCAAATAGAAAAGTGTTTTCTCGGGCTTCGGGCGAGCTAGCAGAGATCAGGAAGCAAGGCAACAAGCGCCATAAAGGAAGATCGAGTCATGGCTTGCATATTGTAGTGAGGCATATTCAGGAACGGCATGAAAGTTCCTGCAAATATACATATTCCCTCATGTAGCAGGCCCTTTGTTTGCCCCAGGGGCCTAATAGCGTCTAGGATCGATAAGTATTCGTGGATACACCGGACCTGAGAAGACAAACCTATCTATAGCAACATGCTGATTGGGCTGTGTATGCATGACAAATGTTTCATACGAATACCGGCAGTCCTGTCACCAATAGCGCCTTTGCTGCATGATTCGGGTCATTCTTCTCGGATGTGGTTATTACCAGGAGCTGAAGACTCTCGTTTTCCAAATGTCGATATCATTATGAGGGAGCTATGTCTATATCTGCCTTGAACAATGAGTCACTTCCTTTCTCGCTTACCATTGGTGTCTCTGCCTCGAGTATAAATACCTCTTCTTCCTGCACGACTTGGATCTCTTCTTTTCCCCAACACTTTCTTTGCCCTTGTAGCTTAGATAAAGTGTAGTATCTTCTCCTTTCAGTTTAATTTCTGAAAACCTTTCTAAGGAACGAGATATTAATCTAGTCTTTGGATTCTGTGGAAAGGCCTCTGTGCTTACACATGTCCTACCATACAGTGTCATCGGGCTTACACAACCCCCAATAGACGCGAAGACCCTTTTCATCAATACGGTCGGTTTGTCTGACTGGTTGGAGAAGAGAATTCTTTTTTGTAGGAGGTTAATCGTCGTTAAGTGGCTTCATTGGAGTTCTGCAGACAGTAAGCACTAGCTTATGGCACTCCAATCAATGAACACAACTGAGCAGGCCCTATGTCAGCGCCTATGCACCAAACGGGATCACCGTGAGCAGCCCACAAGCTCTTCCATTCCTATTCCCAGATACAGAAATGTTCACCCATGAATCCGTTGCCCCAAGAACGACCCCTCTGGAGTTAAATTACTTAGATCCATGACGGATATCTCTAAGGACTGCATGCCTTCCCCAACTGGCATTGAAATACCATTCTCTCATTTAATTTCGGGGTATCCTGCTGACCCGTCAACCCAGATAGCTGCACCGGCTTCTCCACAACGATCTCTACAGGCACGGTTGTCGTCAAGCCCCTGTACGCTATCGCAACCAGATCTTATGACAACCTCAGGCCGCGACTGATCGCTGGCCAGACTACCTAAATGAGGGCGGTGAAGATACACGTGACATGACAGGTACTAATCTGGGTCACGTGATATAGTAACGCGCTAGTAGTATTAGTGTCCGAGTCTGTTGGTGGTCAAATAGGACAACGACAACAACGGCGTTTCAATAAAAGCGGCGCTGCAGACTACATCGAGACCTGATGGTCCATTAACATGTCCAATATGGATCCTACTACTTTTATAGATCCTCAGTTGACTCTCCCAGACCATCTTGTGATCGACAATATCCTTGAAGATGCCAACCTTCAAGGTATGCATGTTCCCCTGCTAAAGTCCTAATGCAGTAAGCGGCTAACAGGCATCCGAGGTGCAGTGTCTGGGCGAGACCAACTCACCACTGAGGAGACAATCCAAAAGTTGGGAGATCTCAATGATCCCTCACATCCTAGCTTCGATCCCACCATATTCCAATCCTGGGACATGCCTGTGCTCCAAGCAAGACTGCCTTCTGTTGTGCAAAAATATGTGCTCCAGCCATATATCAGCTGGGCTCAAGGCGTGGTACGCTTCAAGACTGATGTGGTCATGTTGACACATCTTATTCTGTATTTCACGACCTTGGTACCCAGCGCTTTTCTGTTGCACTACCACTTCTCGTGGACTCATGGCATCTTGCACTGGATCCTCCAGCTCTTCTATTGTGGAGCTTTTACCTTGATGAAGCACCAACACATCCATATGAATGGAATTTTGTCCCCTAAATATTATCTGTTCGACGTCCTCTTTCCCTACTTATTGGACCCTCTTCACGGGCACACATGGAACTCTTACTACTACCACCACATCAAACACCATCATGTCGAAGGCAACGGCCCCAACGATCTGAGCACGACTATGTGGTATGATCGTGACAGTGTCTTTGACTTTTCGTGTTATGTCGGCCGGTTCTTCTTCCTGATATGGTTCGACCTTCCGCTGTACTTTGCGAGAAAAGGACAAACCAAGCATGCCGCCAGAGCCGCCTTCTGGGAGCTGAGCAACTATGCAATGATTTATCTACTCTACAACTATGGCAACTCTCGTGCAACGCTCTTCACGTTAATTCTCCCACTGATGGTCATGCGAGTAGGTCTCATGGTGGGGAACTGGGGCCAACATGCCTTCATCGATCCCAAAGATCCTTACTCAGACTTCCTCTCCAGTATTACACTGATCGATGTTCCAGTAAGTCGCCTGAATCAATCAGACCTGAACGTTTACACTGATTCCAGATAGAGCAATCGTTTCTCCTTCAATGATGGCTACCATACTTCGCATCACTTGAATCCCCATCGACACTGGAGAGGTCACCCGGTAGCCTTTACCAAGCAAAAGGGACGCTACGCGGAAGAAGGGGCCTTGGTGTTTCGCAACGTTGACTACATATTCATCACCGTTAAGCTATTGCAGAAGGATTACATGCATCTAGCCAAATGTCTGATTCCAATGGGCAGTCAAGTCAAAATGACCCTTGAGGAACGAGCTCAGATGCTGCGGACTCGGACACGTCGATTCCAATCCGATAAAAAGAAAGAGTAAACCTTGGTGCGGAGTTCGACTTTTATCGTTCATGGTTAATGGATGGCACCGCGCAGCTATCCATCAAGAGAGCTCGATAACATTCTCAATCAGATCCATCCTTTTCAAAGAAATTCCGCAATGGATTTGTTCACGTGGGATCACATCAAATAGATGGCCGCATATAGAACGCATACCCAAGAATATGACTGAATATGGAGGCAGCTACGAAACGTCAAGTCATAAGGATATATATAGGGAATCTTTGGGAAATATTTGCTATACAGAAATGTTTAATACATATCATACCATATTATCCTCCCTCCTCGCACGCAGTCATCTGAAGATAAGCCTGCCTAGCCAGATCCCGATACTTCTCTGCAAACCGCTCATCCCCAGCAACAAACCCAAACTGCCTCTTCCACTCCCTCCAATGCCCCATACTCCACTGTACACGCCGCTCACCCGCACCCTCCTCTTCCTGGCATCGCCGGTAAACATAGCGACATTCATCAGGCCGTATAACCCACTGCGCAGCTCCGAGCATGTAGTTCCCGAGCTTGTTCGGTCCGTCGATGGGACGTCTCTCCAAATCGGGATATTCACCACTTGATGGGAGGATGTCGAAGAGGGAACTGAGCCAGCTGCAGTCAAATAGGCCTAAGGTGGTTAGGCGCGCCATGGCGGAGTTGATGTTGCGCCAGCGGTAGGGTGGGTAGCATGCTAGAAGATTCAATGTTAGTTTTATTTTGGGAAAAAGAAAGAGTGTGTGGACACACCTGGTAATTCGCGTTCGAATGGCCCAGCCAAACACCCCTGAATCGGCCACAAAGTCATCGTGGGAAACGGCCGTTCGGGATTGTGACTCGAGAATAAGTAAACCTCATGCCGGGGAAGATCTCTCAATGCCTCCAGAATCTCAATAATCAGATTCTGTCCAGCATGATATGGTGGGAATGCCGCGCAGAGACGGGCAGTTGTTTCATATATCGTGTCGATTTCTGGCTTTGGATTCGGCGCGAGCCTGTAGATGCTGACTCCTCGGGACTCCTCTTCCGGCGTGAGAGTGCATCTCCACGGCTCGGGGCGTTTCATCATCTGTGCATGCTGGCGGGTGTTGTTGGATGCGATATGGTTATCGAGGTCGAGGGCCAAGTCGGTTGGGGTTATTTCGCCGTTGACTAGAGCTTCTAGATTTTGTTTTATTGGGAGTTCTTCTTCGTCATCCCACTCGGAATATAGGTTCAAGAGGAGAGGCTTGTTTTCGTTTTCTTCGAAGTAATCGGGGTTTAGATTGAGGGTTGATATCTTGATTACTTTGTTACTAGCGTGTTCGGTGAGGAATGTAGAACAACGAAGGATGAGGGTGGTGCTTCAGTTTATATATCTGTGAGGCTGTGCTAAACCCTCCTATGTGTCATGGAGTAATAATTAAACCAATGAGATTGAGTGTTCAACAATTATCGCCAAATTTCCAACACTGCTCATGCTAATGTAACAAACCAAAACTCTTTGCGACACTTCCCGAAGACAACAACGCCAGACGCTGCAAGACAAGATTGATCACCAATTCATGAGATTATAGCGCGAGATCTGTTAGTGACGAGATTGATATCCTTCTAATCTCTTTTGTAATTCTCGGCATTTGAATATAGTATGCACCTTTTTTGTCTTTGGCACACTTTAGGCTGTTAGCCATCTCGCGTGTTAAGCCCGAAAGGCTCAAATATTCGACTTGGAGCACCATGTGGAACTCATAATCTTGGTGCAATTTGCCCATTGATAGTTCGATCATATAGCTGTAGGTGTTATGATTCCTCTTGATTGCCAGGCATGCATGAGGACCATATTTGAGGTGCTTCTGTCTCCATGTGTTGACTTCCTCCAGCGTTTAATTCTGTGAATATCAGTTTGCCCTCCACATATCCATACCAGGATACATGTGTGCGCCATAGAAACAACACTTTTAGTTTGAGGACTGATCCGAATTGGTGAAAGTTGAAGGTGAACTTCGATTCTAATAAACTATTCAGGATAGTCGAGGAAGAAGTGATGGAGAGATGGAGGGCTGAGGTTCTGAGGAAGCAGAATTCACTTAATTCATTCACCATTGAAGGAACTGGCACAATGCAGAAGTTATATATATTGGTATATGATAAACATTATTTTGCACAAATAGCCAGTCTTATATACATTCCATGAACAAGCCCTTTTCAAACACCACATAAAAACAAATCACCGCTCCTGTCGCTTCCAACCAGTTCTCAACTCCCCACTAGGCTGGAACCGCGGGAACAGATGTGCTTCAGTGTTAAACACATGGTCCTCAAGGGGAATAAACTCTCTCTCCGAAAATAAGAGATAGAAGTACTTGAGCGTCTCCGACAACCAGTATCCTTCCATGTTATCTCGTCGAAGGGGAGGGACGATATTTGCGTTGTCTAGGGATGTGAATCCCACGATTCGTCCCGACAATGGCGATGACGATGAGGAATCGTCGCTGCGTTTGCGTTGAGGAGAGAAGCGGTAGTGGTTGTCGTATTCGACGACTGGGGTGTGCTTCATGAAGGACTTGAAGATCTCCCATCCCCACTCTCGGTAGGTTTCATCTCCGGAGATCCGGTAGAGGTAGAGGAGTGATTCGATCGTCTCTGGTCGTTGCAGGTTGTGTAGGTCCATATTCTGGAGCTGGATGTCCGCTCGCCAACCCGATTGCGACTTGTCTTCTGTGTCGAGAGGTTGGGATACCGGCTTTAAGGGCGACGACGGAGGGTACATATCGGTCATTGTCTTTGGAGGCTGGTCCGTCTCGAAGTATACAATCTCCGGTGCCAGCCCAGTCTTTGTTGTCAAGTACGTCGCCCAGCATGTCTTCATCAATTCTTGGGCTAGGAGCATTTCCTCGTCTTGTCGTCGTGACCACTCTGGCGACTTCTTTGCGTCGCTTAGTGGCAGGCCTCCCGTCGCTCCCAGAGCTATTGTCCCCGGTAGGAAGCATGCCAGATGGTCCATCTTGGGTATCAAAGGACCACGGATTCCGTCCGGTCGTTCACCCAATATTGTCAGCTGTGCCCGTTGACTGTACGTGACGAGGTGTTTGCGAATGCCCATCAGAGACTGGTCCCAAATGTCCTTGTAGATGAGCTCTGATGTTTGCAGATACTGCTTGATGAGATATTCTGTAAGCAGTGTTAGCGAAGGCAACAGATATAACAGAGTAACAAAAGGACGAACCATAATATGAATCTCCCCGGCTGCCCACACTGATACTCTCGCCTCGGAACTTGCCATCTGGGTGAATGGAGACAGGTACCAGACCATCTTCCGCCTTCTGGTCGTCAACAACTTGCATCACCTTCTCCGCCATCTGCCAGTATTCCGACTCGCCCGTCAACTTGGCAAGGTACTTGAACTCAAGCTGCAACGCTGTGGACTCCGCTGTCGACGACGCTCCGCCGTTTAGCTGCGACGCGACACCCTCCGACGTGTTGAGGTTCACACCCGCAAATGGCACTCCGGACTGAGAGTCAAACGCACCAAGCAATCGATCCGCAAGATCCGCGGCTTTCTCAATATACAAGTCCTCCCCGGGCGAACCAGTATCGTCATCGGAGATTGGGGCTAGATTCGGGTATTTCGTTGACAGGTAATGCGCTGACAGGAGACCACCCAGTATGCGAATGGTCGTCTCGTACGTGTTCACCTGGCTGTCTTGGTTATATTGCAACGAGTTTTGGATCCAATCGCGCGCGTGCTGGACTCGCGAAGTGAGGTTCATCATCATCATCGTATCCAGTGCATCGACGATGATATAACCCATTCCACCTGGGATCATATGTGTTCCCTTTTTGGCAATCGGCGAGAACTCATCGAATCCTAACCAATGTCAGCACCCATCCAGTCTAGAAACCACTGTTTCAAGAAAACCCACCCCATCCATAATTCTCATACCCATCCCAGCTAACAATAAACGCATCCCTAACCTTCTCCCTCCGCGCATCCCAATCAACATTCTTCTGCTTCCCACCCTTCTCCGACCCCTCCTTCTCCAAACTCTGCACCCATTCCCAAAGCTCTGCCCCCTTAGCAGAGCCAGGCGTCTTAACTCCGCCATTCCACATCGGCCCAGATAAACAGTACCACAGAACCGTCAAGATAAAGAGAGCTATCCCGCCGTATAGAACCTTGCGCCGCTTACTCCTCGGCCCCGTGCGCTTGGGCGCGAAATACGGCTTGTCTTTGTACAGCGGGAGGGTCGCGCGATTGTTGTTATTGAGGAATGGGCTTAAGCGGCTCGGGGTTGGTAGGCCGGTGGGCTGTCCTGAGAGCCCGTATCCTGGTAATCTGCCATTGGGGCTGCGGCTCGCTGCGCGCCAGTAGTTATCGCCGTAGGGGTGTTGGGAGGGGAAGGAGGGATTCGTCTGAGGGAATGAGTAGGACATGGTTGCTGCTGTCGTTGTATCTCTTGTTGCTTCGTGCTCTCGGGGTCCCCTCTAAGGAGAAAGAGTCGCGATAGCTCCTCCACGTATTTTGCAATCAAAAATGTCGGTCGTAAATCATGAGCCTCGTATTCGATTTCCAGGATGATCGCAGGCAGGTTCGGATTGATTTCTTTCTAGAGTCCACGAAATTAAACAGTCAGCGGCATTCTATAATACTGGGGCCAGGGTACTCGACCAACCAATGTGACATCTGAAATAACCACTCGCAAGCCATCCAGTCTCTGGAACGACCAATCCTTCTCCTTCCAGATGGTAATATGAAGAAAGGAAATGGATATGAACGGGGCCTGGACTGCAGTGGCCAACTGTCTGGAAGCTCCGCGGAGAGAGATCGGGGATTCTTGGCACTATCTGTAGATCTAAGGACGGCAGGTAGCGCCAGAACCATAGTCATAATACTTTGAAGATACAGATCATACGGCTTGGGGGATGATTTCCACGTGTCAAAGATACTACCAACCGGGGATGTGCTGTGCAACACTACGATGACTCGAATATCAATACTGGTTATGTTCGGGTTGGCATTAACATTTTTCAGTGATAGATGATAGAGATACTAAGGACATGATCATTCGTAAGAACGAAGGCATGCAATAAAGATAATGCCGATCTACAGCTTCTGGTACTCCAATTTTCCTTCCAACTTCTTCGCTTCGGCGACCTTGCGGACGGCCCTGTTGAAGTCGTCCTGGCTGATCGCCTCCCGGTAGTCTTTGATCGCAAACAAACCACTATATCCAACGTTAGTTAAAGCAATTCATGTAGACGGTAGGGAACAATGAACATACGCTTCTGTAACGACATTGCGAAGGTCGGCTCCGTTGAGTCCGTCACTCATCTTCACAACACTCTCAAAGTCAATGTCGCCTTCCAACTTGGTCGAGCTGGCATGAATCTTCAGAATCTCCATACGGCCGACCTCGTTGGGCAGCGGAATCTCAACCTTCCGGTCCAAACGACCCGCACGCAGCAGGGCAGGGTCAAGGGTATCAGGTCGGTTGGTGGCCATAATGATCTTGGTCTTTCCAAGGTAATCAAAACCATCCAGCTGGTTGAGAAGTTCCATCAGTGTCCGCTGAATTTCACGGTCTGCAGAGGTACCCTCCGAAAATCGTCTACCACCGATAGCGTCGATTTCGTCCATGAAGATAATACAAGGCTCGTGTTCCTTGGCATAACCGAACATTTCTCTTATTAACCGTGCGGATTCACCGATGTACTTGTCGACGATGGCGGAAGACACGACTGTTTTAGAGATGTTTTATTAGTAACCAATATAGACTTCCTAGGACAGATAGAGTGCAGCATACCCTTCAGGAAGTTGGTTTCCAACGAACTTGCCACTGCCCGTGCCAACAATGTCTTTCCGGTTCCTGGCGGCCCATAGAGTAGTACGCCCTTTGGTGACTTGATACCTACTCTCTGGAAGAGTTCAGGGTTCTTCAACGGCAGTTCAATCACTTCTCGCAGCTCTCTGATCTGTTCATTCAAACCACCAATTCCTGCAAAGTTAATTTGGCCGGGGTCCTCCAGAGACATGTTGTACACCATCGGGTCGACCTCACGCGGCAACATGCGCATGATTGTAAGTGTTGTCATATCGAGAGCGACACGGGTTCCTTGTCTGAGCTTGGCCTTGTCGACCTTGGAGCGGCAACCGACGACATATCGGGGTCCGGATGATGCCTTGACGATGACTGAATGAACCGTTAGCCATGCACGATAACTTGTAGCAAAGACAACCACCAGGATAGAAGTCTAAGAATGATATCACAAAGATGATATACATACATCGTTCCTCGTCCAGTTGCTTCAACACTTCTCCGATGATCTGGCCAACACTTTGCAGGGCCTTGATGTTCTCTTCAGAAATGTCAAACTCCTTTTGCAAATCCTTGATACCTAGACGGAGCGTCCTAAGCTTCGCCTCCCATTCGCGGAGCTCCAGTAAGCTCTTCTTGTAGTCTTCGAGCGCTTGGTCTCTCTCCGGATCAGCCATGGTGGAGGTAGGTAGGGACGGTGCAGGCGGAAGATAAAGGCGAAGGATATAGTTGAATTACAGCCCGAGCCGGTTGAAGGATGGTGTTGGTTGAGCCGATAAAAGGGTAGGAATCCGGGGTATCGTTTGGGCGTATGTGTGACTATCAACTGCGACAAGCTGGATAGCTGTCGAGGAGCTCACGGCCGCGCCCAATGAAGTCACCTGATCCACGGATGAGACATCACGTGTTATTGCCTGAATAAACAGACATCAAACTACGTGACCGAGTTAGTTAACTATCGTATTTCACAAGCGGGCCGGCCACCCAAGCCAGCCGCCCACCTGCGTATACCATATTAATCGGCACTTTTTATAACCCCCAAAATCTCAATAACGAAGCATTTAGAAGGTCCAGGTTTAAGTTATACAGTATTATGGTATTATATTTCTATATACTAAGCACAAAGCTTTCTAGATTAGGCATTTCTCTATGTAATATAAATTACGGTGGTATTTTTTGTATTTTTGGATAATCTAATATTTAGAGCTAAAGAAAATATACAAAAATCTTAAAAATAGATATATTGCTTCTTAGTTCTACATATATACTACATACCTAGCAATACCCTCCTATATTCGTTGTTGATGTATATTTTTGAGCCTTGAAAAGTGCCGATTAATATGGTATACGCAGGTGGGCGGCTGGCTTGGGTGGCCGGGCCCGCTTGTGAAATACGTTAACTAGAAGGTTCGAGCAGTGTGGTTTCTGCTGGCTAGTACCGCTTGCTGCATTTGTATCGGAATACCCTATCCCTCTTATGCCAGTCTGGATTCATCACACCAAGTCTCGACACAAGAGGGAACATCCCGATTGGTCATGGGATTTACTAGACTATTGAAGGCCTAGCAGATCATTTTACGTGTGTGCTGTCCAGTGCGGAGTCATTTAATCTGTCCTCAAGGTGTACTCCGTATGCGGACGGTTGACCAGCAAGTGAGAGCAAGGTCTGAGCAAACGTACTCTGCCCTTCATTCCTACTACATACACGGTGCTTTGAAAACAGCAGTCACATGGAGATGCTGTTAGCTGTGACATGCAGGAGATAACGTGGGCAATTCTGACCGTTGGGATGCCCGTCATTGATGCACGGAACTGCCAATTGCTGCGTGAAGCAACAACGAGCGGAGTCCAAAACTACTTGTAGGAAGTACATTTCTTCTTGATACTCTCCGTGTGTACTGGAATAATGGCCATAGACGGAGCAAGTAACCGCAGTATAGTACTCTGTAGCGTCTCAACATTGAGCCGGATACTCACACGTGATTGATCGCATATCCTCCATCCGGGCCATTATACAATAACAATCTCGAGTAGTGTAAAGGTAGCAAGGTACTCCGTACTCTAGGAGCATAAACAACTCTTCCGCCTCAACCCGAGGGACCCCGGAAGATCTCGCTGGAGAGAATGACGGCAGACGGTCTAAAGGACAGGAAGCCCCACCACCGCCTTGGAAAGATTCGGAGAGATGCTGGACGAGTTGAAGTGTTTTGCCGACGGGGACAATTATATATTATTAGCTTCTCCTCGTCTTATTCCTTTTTTATTCCCCAGTTTTCTCACTACAACTGAAACTATCCCAAGTCAGGTGAGTTGCTTGCTTATGTTGCTGATCCCGTGACTACCCCACTATCCCACCCCTCCTTATCACTATCGCGATGATGACAACGATAATGATGATGGGATGGCAATGACAATGATGGTGATTTGACGAGTTATTATGCTTATTTTGGGGAGATTCACTATGATCTCTCCACCAATTCTCTATTATCCACCATAATTGTCCACTCCCATCAATTAATCCCGTCATCTTTCTAATCCTTCTTAATCCGTGTTTCCCTTTATTTCTACACCAATTCACTTTTGGGTCATCGGTGAACACAAACATCGCCCGCCTTGGTTGGTCCACACCGAAACAACAAACACCTATATTATATTATATCACCGTTCTCCGTTCTCTTCTCTTTTTCTCTTCTTCTTTTCTCCTCCAACTGACTGAATATCTTTTCAATCCAGTACATTCATCATGCCTATCTCCAAGGTTCACGCTCGCTCCATCTACGACTCGCGTGGTAACCCCACCGTCGAGGTCGACATTGTCACCGAGACCGGCCTCCACCGCGCCATTGTCCCCTCCGGTGCCTCTACTGGTTAGTGTTCGATTATAAGAGCCTGAAAAAGGAAGAGGAGAGCGTTTATACTGACGGTTCATTTCAGGCCAGCACGAGGCTCACGAGCTCCGTGACGGTGACAAGGCCAAGTGGCTCGGAAAGGGTGAGTGACGAAAATTTCTGGCTTGAGAAACATCACGGAACTGACGGATTTCATTGAATAGGTGTCACCAAGGCCGTTGCCAATGTCAACGAGAAGATCGGACCTGCGATCATCAAGGAGAACCTCGACGTCAAGGACCAGTCCAAGGTTGACGAGTTCCTGAACAAGCTCGACGGCTCGACTAACAAGCAGAACCTTGGTGCCAACGCCATCCTCGGTGTCAGCTTGGCCGTTGCCAAGGCTGGTGCTGCTGAGAAGGGTGTCCCTCTCTACGCTCACATCTCCGACCTTGCCGGTACCAAGAAGCCCTATGTCCTCCCCGTCCCTTTCCAGAACGTCCTGAACGGTGGTTCCCACGCTGGTGGCCGCCTCGCCTTCCAGGAGTTCATGATTGTCCCTGCGTACGTTGGTCCCTGAAGCAAATATCAAGATACAAAAGTTTCGTGCAGCTGACAGAAAACTAGTGCTGCTCCCTCTTTCTCCGAGGCCCTCCGCCAGGGTGCTGAGGTCTACCACAAGCTCAAGTCTCTCGCCAAGAAGAAGTACGGCCAGTCCGCTGGTAACGTTGGTGACGAGGGTGGTGTTGCCCCCGACATTCAGACTGCCGAGGAGGCTCTTGACCTGATCACCGACGCCATTGAGCAGGCCGGTTACACCGGCCAGGTCAAGATTGCCCTTGACGTTGCCTCCAGCGAGTTCTACAAGACCGACGCCAAGAAGTACGACTTGGACTTCAAGAACCCCGAGAGCGACTCCTCCAAGTGGCTCACCTACGAGCAGCTTGCCGACCTCTACAAGTCGCTTGCTAGCAAGTACCCCATTGTCAGCATTGAGGACCCCTTCGCTGAGGATGACTGGGAGGCCTGGAGCTACTTCTACAAGACCTCTGACTTCCAGATTGTTGGGTAAGTTTCCCCATCTGAGACCATTGATTTATTAGAAACTAACGCCTTTTAGTGACGACCTGACTGTCACCAACCCCCTCCGTATCAAGAAGGCCATTGAGCTCAAGTCTTGCAACGCCCTCCTCCTCAAGGTCAACCAGATCGGTTCTCTTACCGAGTCGATCCAGGCCGCCAAGGACTCCTACACCGACGGCTGGGGTGTCATGGTCTCCCACCGCTCCGGTGAGACCGAGGACGTTACCATCGCCGACATTTCCGTCGGTCTCCGCTCTGGCCAGATTAAGACCGGTGCTCCCTGCCGCTCTGAGCGTCTTGCCAAGCTCAACCAGATCCTCCGTATCGAGGAGGAGCTTGGCTCCAACGCCGTCTACGCCGGTGAGAAGTTCCGCAGCGCCGTTAACCTGTAAATGCTTGCTTCGGGGACCCTAGAGTAAGATGAACGCCGTCCAAGCTGGTGCATGAACCGAAACACCATTGGACACCACAGCTATGGAGGCTAGTCCTCGTGGCTATAAAACAGTTATGATGACGAATTGAGCCAATTTACGCAAGATAGTTAGCACATAATGAATGCCATCTATTCTGGTACCATTCTCTTCCATAGTACTTATATTCTCCGAAACAGTCCTCCGTAATCGGAATACCCAGGCGGCGAATGAGTCACGTGTGCGACAGCCCCACCACATCCTTATTCTTGAGCGCGATATCAACTTTGCCCACATAAAAATCCCACGGCTTTGTCCTCGTCAACGCCAGGTCCCTGGACGGATACTGTCTGCTGTTGAATTCTTGAATCTCGTCCATTCTTTAGTACCGAGGAATTTCTTTTATTTTTTTTTTATCGCTCAAGATGCCGCCATCGAAGTGGGGTATGTATAAGTCGAGAAGAATTTACAGATTCTCTCTTGGACTTGATTGAGTTATGCAGGAACAACGACTAACGATTCTCCAGACGACGAGGAGGAGAGCACCTCCCCCCCTCCCCCCGTGCTCCCCCGCCGCAGCAAGTTTGATGACGAGGAGGAAGAAGAGGTACCCCCCACCCCGATCAAAAACACCATCCATACTCTAGCAGAAGACTAACGACAAGAACAAATAGGTCCTCGACTCCTGGGACGCGGCCGAAGACAGCGACGTCGAGCGCGAAAAAGAAGCCAAAGCCGCCGAAGCTAAAGCCAAAGCCGAAGCCGAAGCCGCCGCAAACAAGAAATCCAAGAACCAACGGATAGAAGAGCATAAGGAGATTCGGCGGAAACAGGCCGAGGAGGAAGAGGCCAACGCCGAGAGCGACGAGGACGAGTCCTCGCGCCGGGAGCGCTTGCGCCGTACGGAGAAGGACTCTGATCTTGCGCACGCGGAGGATCTGTTCGGTGGTGGTGGTGGAGGTGGGGGTGCGGTTGATATTGGGGACGTGGATATGCAGCGGATGAAGAACCGGAGTGCGGCGCCCAAGCCGGTTATGGTTTCGGATTCGGCGGATCCGACTAATGCGATTGATCTTTCGGCGATGCCGTTGTTCAAGCCTACGTCGAAGGAGCAGTTTGCTAAGGTTACTTCTACCATTGGGCCTATGTTGACGGCGCACTCGAAGAAGCCGCACTATGCTCTGTGGGCACAGGATTTCGCCAAGCAGCTGGTCAAGGATCTGCCCTCTGGCGAGATCAAGAAGATCGCCAGTGCCTTGACGACTGCTAGTAACGAGAAGATGCGCGAGGAGCGTGCGGCCGACAAGGGCACCAAGAAGTCGAAGGCCGCAAAGACGAAGGTGTCCTTGGCGGCCTCCAGGGAAGACAAGATTGATTCCAGCTACGATAACTACGATGACGGGTTGGGTGATGATGATTTCATGTGATTCGATTGTCATCATTTCTTCTATGATGCTATGTCTATTTCCTGTCTACTGGAATGGATAGTTTTTGCTCTCTTTGCTTGATATCCATAGCCAGATCCATCCATACATACACGCATATACACATATGATTCTTTTTCAATACTATGTCTACCGTAGACGAGGATAAAGCATTACTTTCAATTCACGAGGGTCAGGGAGAGTATGGAATATAACAGATTAAAATACGGGAAGATGAAGCACATTGGTACCCTGCTGAGCTGGGAAAGAGAGTGAACGAAAGAAATAAACTCCATTCAGCCCCCCTTTCCTCGCCCTCCAAATATCAAACTCCTTCGGCCGACCGAACAAAGTGGAAAAGATAGTGTATGTATGCGCCAGTTTCGAATTTGCCATGCAGCTACCAGCAAGTCCTTCACCCACAAAAAAATTCACTTCGAAGGATCTCGAAAGTCCAAATAGACGAACGCTTGAGGACACAACACGGGCTTTTTGCTATAACAAAGAAAAACGAACCTCCAACTTGCCTCGCCTGTCTGGCTTAGGATTCGGGAGCAGCAGGCTTGGGCTCCTCACCCTTGTCCTCAGGAGCCGGGGCGGACTCCTCCTCGGGCTTGTCCTCCTTGGCGCCACCCTCGGCCTCGTTGCCGTCAGACGAAGTCCACAAGGTCAGGTTGTCACGCAGAAGCTGCATGATCAGAGTGCTGTCACGGTAGCTCTCTTCGGAGAGGGAGTCGAGCTCAGCAATGGCGTCATCGAACGCCTGCTTGGCAAGGTGGCAAGCACGGTCGGGCGAGTTCAGAATCTCGTAGTAGAAAACGGAGAAGTTGAGGGCGAGTCCGAGACGGATGGGATGGGTAGGGGTGAGTTCGGTCTGAGCGACATCGGTGGCGTTCTGATCAATCTGGTCAGTATTGCCCTTTTTTGAAGTCCACTATCACAAAGGACACATACCTTGTAAGCCTCGTGGGCGGCGGTGGCAGCTTCCTTGCGCTGGCCGCCAGAAGCGAACTCAGCAAGGTAACGGTGGTAGTCACCCTTCCTGTTAATCAAGGTTAACCTAGGACCCGACCATGTTGTCCTGTGGACGATCCGATCCTGCTTACATCTTGTGGTAGAAGACCTTGGACTCGCCAGTCTCGGCCTTGGGAATGAGGGCCTCATCCAGAACGTCGAGGACATCCCCGCAGACGCGCTCGAGTTCCTTCTCGATCTTCAGGCGGTAGTCACGGATGATGGTAACGTGCTGCTCAGAACCCTTGGACTCCTCCTTCTGTTCGATGGAGGAGATGATACGCCAAGAGGCACGGCGGGTGCCGACAACGTTCTTGTACGCAACGGACAGAAGGTTACGCTCATCGACGGTAAGTTCACCTCCAATCTGATGCGGGAGGTTAGTCAGGGGATGGGACGCGATCCGGTTAAATAGGAGAAATAAGGATAGGGGGAGTAAACGAGACGAAGCAATGTATTGATGCAAAGTTCAAGAGAGACATACGTTGGCGACTTCCTGTGTCACGGTTAGCAATCGTGTTAGACCAGACAGAAAAGGAGTGGACAACTAACCTTCATGTAGGTGACCATTTCTGTTCAATCAACACAAGCGATTAGCATATATGAACCCTTAAAATCATCCATATCGTAGTTGTTCTCTCATCTTACCATCGTAACGCTCGGCCTGCTCGCAGAGCCTTGCGAGGAAAGTCTTGCTGGAAGACGAAGTTGTTGTCAGTATGATTGTGTCATCTGCGGCTGACGCTCGAATGTTTACCTATCACGCTGCACAGAAAATACAAGTCAGTCCACGATTTTATTATGATAAAGACAACAAAAATCAAGAAGGAGAAAGGGATGTCGCTATAGACATGCACCCCTCCCCCTTCTCCATTGACGTCGCGACAGCGGTAACCACGACCACTGTCGAGGGGCTGTTGGGCCAGAACATACCTCAGAAACCATGGTGACTGATTAAAACGGAGGGAAGAGATTAAAGGGGGAGAAAGACACGGATATTGGACGAGAGGCAAGAAAAAAGAACAGAAATGAAGATGAAGAGAGAAGAGACAGTGAGAGAGAGGAAGAGAGAGGATGAAGATCAACTCACTTTGGGGGGGGAAATCGAGAGTGAGAGCGATGAGGCTAGTTTGTCCTGTTTGCACCCGTTGGTTCCTCAGGCATAATAGTGTCCTCTTCACTCACACTTCTCCTATCTCTGTTCTCTGCCACATTTAGTTACCCCTAGAGCTTTGCTTCTGTCTTGCTCAATCAAGTGTCAACTGTTAGTTGCCTTTTTAACAGACCAGAAAATGTCGTATGACTCCGTCATTAAGGCCCGGGGTTTGGCCCGTATACTACGACATTCAGGCAGTATCGATCTGAGGACTTCCCGGACCTCTCTAATACTTCAAGATACTTAAGATGTTTCATGCTAGTGATCAGCGTACGATATATACGTTCTAACTGGTGGTGACAAGGGTATTCACCTACATTTTGCGTCGGGCCGAACACTTCAGGGCCAGTACAGCCTGGTTTCCTCTTTGGTCTTTCTGCACTTTGCATCGTCCAAGAATAATGAATTGTTACTATGCATCATGCAGCTCTCTTTTTTTCTCGCATTAGCCGCTGGGTTCGAGCGGTCCGTAGTGTTTGCAGATAAGCTCCAAACCCCGGAGTCTGGACTCCCCCAGAAATGGCTACAGACTCGCATTAGCTGAATCACAGCCTTCGATAATGATACTGAGAACACAAAGTCCATTACGAGAAGCAACATTTTCTACAGGAGACGTCGATACCACAACCCTTTCTCGGACAACTGCATATCAAAACTACATCTTCAACTCTCTTACAGATGAAGTCAACGAGTAGATGTGAACGGGATATATTCTTCGGTGGGAGCACATGCGACATTCCTAATAGAGCAATGGATGGATACAGTTGGCAACCATGTCCCATCACCCTTGGAAAATATTTAGACTGTGTATTGAGGCTGAAGAGCTGAAAGACATCATCCAGTGTACTACTGCGTATGCAGGGCATCATCGGAGAGCCAGTTCATCTTGCTTTACGATTCCAAGGGTCCAAGGCCAGAGGGGAAACAGCATGATAAGGGTGAAAGCACTGCATATCCGCATGTCTGAGCTTGATGTTGCTTTTTTATTTTATTTTTATTTATTTTCATTTTCACCTACACTAGTTAGTCTGTACACTCCGTACAGAAGAATGCTGTGAGGTTACCCTGCGGCATGGGTGCAAGTTCCAGCTGGTCTTTCCTGTTAATGGAATGACAGTTCGACTCTGAAAAAAAAAAAAAAAAAAAAAAAAAAAAAAAAAGCCTAACTCTACAGAATACGCCGTATGGAGTATGTCTACCAAGCACCGGACATAAGGCTGATTTCGGGTGAAACAAAACGAGAAACTGGCGAATGGAGCCTCTGTTTAGTCAGACCGAATGGGTCCTCGAGCAAGGCATCATTATTTCCAGAGTCGAGTGGAGAGAAGAGCATGAACATCGTCATTAGTGGCCTCGTGGAAGATGCTGAAATTCCCCTCTTTTGGTCCTCGTCAGCGCTGAAGAGAACCGGAGACAAAGGAAGTCGTATATATACTACGTTGTATACAGAGTACAGATCGTATATGTACATGGTTCCGAAATGGGAAGTGGACAACATCCGTTGGTGTGACTATGCGCGCACCGCGATAGAGAGCGTAACCAATATCAAAGCGTTCCTCGACAGCTGGTACTAACCATGCAGACCATAATCCCTGTAGAAACACGCTATTAAACCCAGCCCTGCAGGGCTGTTTCTGACCCTAGAGATTCATGGTTGGCTCCAATTAACTTGCATCATGGTGTCTAAATGAACCAAACAAACCCCGAATTATGACTTCTTTCTTGATTACCCAATTTCCCCGGCCCGGAATCTAGTAGTATTATTTTACAGGTCTTCCTGTATATTTCACTGGTGCTGGGCGGCTTTTCTATTCTAGATCCTTCCGGTGCTGTACCGACATACTGTACCTACTAACTTTCCCCTTCGGCCACTTGGCCGTTCATCGCCCTGTTGTCCTCTCTTTTTCTCTCTCTCTTCCCTTCCTCTTCCCCTCACACCCATCTTCTGAATTCACATTTTCTTTCTCCTTTTTTCTTTCCTTATTTTCCTCCGGCTCGTGTAGCCGCTATGGAGAATTCCTTTCTCTATTCTCCAGCCGAAGTGCTTCAGCACTTCGGTGCTTCGGAGAGCTCCGGTTTATCGCAAAACCAAGTCACTGAGGCTAAGAAAAAACATGGTCCTAATGGTGAGTTACTGATTTTTCTCTTGGTGGAGGGAAAATAAAGAAGACAATCAACGAAAAATTGTTTAAAATAATGGGGTGAAGTTTGAATGCTGACCAGCTGTTTTCCCATCGCTAGCTCTGGCCGAAGATCCCCCGACTCCTCTATGGGAGCTTGTTTTGGAACAATTCAAAGACCAGCTGGTCTTGATTCTTTTGGGCTCCGCGGCTATATCCTTTTTTCTGGCTTTGTTTGAAGAAAGCGACGATTGGACAGCGTTTGTCGACCCTGTTGTGGTACGTCTCTTATCGCGCGCCTGTGTTGTCCTTCCGCGGGGAACATTTTGCTAACTCTCTCTGTGTGTGTCTACAGATTCTTACGATCCTTATCCTCAACGCGGTAGTCGGCGTGACCCAGGAAAGCAGTGCGGAGAAGGCCATTGCGGCTCTCCAGGAATACTCAGCGAACGAGGCTAAAGTGATTCGGGACGGTACCGTTCAGCGCATCAAGGCGGAAGATCTGGTTCCCGGAGATATTGTCCAAGTGGCCGTTGGTGACCGTGTGCCCGCAGACTGCCGGCTGCTCACGATTCACAGCAACGGATTCCGCGTCGACCAGGCCATTCTGACGGGTGAAAGCGAGAGTGTGTCCAAGGACACCCGTGCGGTCACGGACAAGCAAGCGGTCAAGCAGGATCAGACAAACTTGATTTTCTCGGGAACGACTATCGTTAACGGTCATGCCAATGCTGTCGTTGTCCTCACTGGTGGCTCGACCGCCATTGGTGATATCCACGAGAGCATTACCTCCCAGATCTCGGAGCCTACCCCGCTGAAGCAGAAGCTCAACGATTTCGGTGACATGCTGGCCAAGGTCATTACTGTGATCTGTGTGCTTGTTTGGGTGATTAACGTCGAGCACTTCAATGACCCGGCCTTTGGTGGCTGGACAAAGGGTGCCATCTACTACCTCAAGATTGCTGTCTCGTTGGGTGTGGCCGCCATTCCCGAAGGTCTGGCTGTGGTCATCACTACCTGCCTGGCTTTGGGTACCCGGAAAATGGCTCAGAAAAACGCCGTGGTCCGGTCTCTCCCATCTGTGGAAACCCTGGGTAGCTGCAGCGTCATCTGCTCGGACAAGACGGGAACTCTGACTACCAACCAAATGAGTGTTGAGAAGGTGGTGTATTTGAACTCGCTTGGCGCCGTGGAGGAAATCGACGTTGAAGGCACGACGTTTGCGCCATTGGGTCAGCTCTCGCGCAATGGCCAGGCCTTGGACCAGCTTGCCGTCTCCTCGTCTACTGTTCGCCAAATGACCCAAGTCATGGCTCTCTGCAACGGATCGACTCTGGCTTACGACACGAAGAGCGGTACATTCTCCTGCATTGGTGAGCCTACTGAGGGAGCTCTGCGCGCCTTGGTCGAAAAGATCGGCACGGATGACCGGACTACCAACGAAACACTTCTCCGCATGCCAGGTTCTCAGCGACTGCACACCGTGAGCTCGTATTACGGACAGCGTCTTCCCCTCAAAGCCACCTATGAATTCTCTCGGGATCGCAAGAGCATGTCGGTTTTGGTTGGCGATGGCTCGCAGCAGAAGCTTCTTGTCAAGGGTGCCTCGGAATCGATCTTGGAACGCTGCTCGCACATTGTTCTGGGCGAGAACGCATCTCGTTTGAGTCTTACGAAAGAGCACGTCAACAGATTATCGCAGCAAGTGGTGGAATACGGTAACCGAGGTCTCCGTGTGATGGCATTGGCCAGCGTGGATGTGGGCACAAACCCTCTCCTGCATAAGGCCCAGAACTCGGAAGACTACGCGCATTTGGAACAGAACATGACTTTGCTTGGTCTCGTCTGCATGCTTGACCCTCCGCGGGTGGAAGTTTCGGATTCTATCAAGAAGTGCCGTGAAGCTGGCATTCGGGTCATCGTCATCACCGGAGACAGCCCCAACACCGCCGAGTCCATTTGCCGCCAGATTGGTGTTTTTGAAGCGGACGAAGACTTGACTGGAAAGAGCTTCACGGGTCGCCAGTTCGACAGCCTTTCGGAGAGTGAGCAGCTCGAGGCCGTTAAGACGGCATCTCTGTTCTCGCGTACTGAACCCAGCCACAAGTCCAAACTGGTCGACCTCCTGCAATCTCTGAACCATGTGGTTGCGATGACTGGTGACGGTGTCAATGATGCCCCTGCCTTGAAGAAATCGGACATTGGTGTGGCTATGGGCACTGGTACCGACGTGGCCAAGTTGGCTGCTGATATGGTTCTGGCTGATGACAACTTTGCAACCATCACTGTTGCAGTCGAGGAGGGCCGGTCCATCTACAGCAACACGCAACAGTTTATCCGCTACTTGATCTCGTCGAACATTGGTGAAGTTGTGTCTATTTTCTTGACCGCCGCTCTGGGTATGCCGGAAGCCTTGATCCCTGTGCAGCTCCTGTGGGTGAACCTGGTTACCGATGGTCTGCCAGCTACTGCTCTGTCGTTCAACCCGCCCGACCACGATGTGATGCGCCGCGCTCCCCGCAAGCGTGACGAGCGTTTGGTTGGCGGCTGGCTTTTGTTCCGGTACATGGTGGTTGGTACTTACGTCGGTGCTGCTACTGTGTTCGGCTACGCTTGGTGGTTCCTCTACAACCCAGAGGGTCCGCAGATCTCGTTCTGGCAGCTTGCGCACTTCCACAAGTGCTCCTCCGAGTTCCCGGAGATCGGATGCGCGATATTCTCGAACGACATGTCCAAGTCTGCGTCGACGGTGTCACTGTCCATCCTGGTGGTTATTGAGATGCTGAACGCCATGAACGGCCTGTCGTCGAGTGAATCGCTGCTTACCTTCCCTCTCTGGAAGAACATGATGCTCGTGTATGCGGTCATTATGTCCATGGCCCTGCACTTTGCCATCCTCTACATTCCTTTCTTGCAGGGACTGTTCTCGATTCTGCCACTGAACATGATTGAGTGGAAGGCTGTGTTGGCTATCAGTGCGCCTGTCATTGTCATCGACGAAGTTCTCAAATTTGTTGAGCGTCGTCTCTACACCCTGCCTGTCAAGGCTTCTTCGAAGCCCAAGAAGGCATGAATTATGATTCGATGATGGAAACAGGGGGTGGATGTCTTATTTCTTTATTCTTTGCTTTTTACTTCTCCAATCTTGGACGGGGCTTGGGTTGGCCCAGTGATGGGAAGATGAACAGGATAGGTGTGATAGACTTGTGGGATCATATACTATCTGGTCTTGTGTTTTTGCTATTTTAAAAATAAAAATCAACAATGAGAAACGATTTCAATGCAGCAGTCTACGGTGTATTCACTGTCTCGTATTTGATAAGACCGGTTGCGCGTCGCCGTGAACATATCCCTATAGCCCGCTAATAAAAGGCCTCACAGCTCATCTGCATTTATTCCCTCACCAACCTGGGAAATTTTGACACTCCTCTTCATGCCAACATGTCAACCTACCCCTACTATCCCCCAGGCGTCTCGGTCGCCAACTACACCCTCAACACCAGGTCCACACCAGGCCTAATCACCATCTTCGTCCTCACCTGCACCGCCATCCTCACCACAACCCACGCCTTAGTCAAAAGATCCCACCCCCAAATCCCCACCCCCGACCTAGCCACAGCCCAATGGTTCGTCCTCTGCGGCTGCATCCACCTCATCCTGGAAGGCTACTACGCCACCAACGGACTAGGAGACGGTCTTGGTGGATTGCAAGACAATGTATTCGAGAGCGACGGGTGTGACATATACGCAAGTGGACAAACATAATCAACTACCAAGTACTATAACCCTATCCCTATCGCCTCCGAGTCAACTTCACCACCACTCTCCGAGTCGGCGGCAACGTCCCATAGGGCACCCATCGCTGATCCGACTGATCCCGGTTCGCAGCCCGCCGGTCAACCAGCTCACAATCAAACAAATCCAACAACAACCCCAGCGTCCCGATAATCTCATTCTTGGCGAAATGCCGCCCAGGACACATCCGCTGCCCGCCCCCATACGGCATCCAGCACTCCGCCAGACCATCCACGCTGAACTTGAGCTTGCTGTCCTCCCGCCCCCGCACGAGGAACCGTTCGGGCCAGAACTCGTCCAGCGGGCGCGAGACTATCTGCGGGCGCACGGATTCCCAGGCTGACTGGTTCCGTGCGGTAATGGACGAGAATGTGCTCATGGTCGTGTTGCGGGGGACGGTGTAATCGGAGTCCGGGCCTAGGCAGAAGGGAACGTCTTCGTTGGTGCGGGTCATGATGCCGGATACTCGGAGGCGGAGGACCTCTGCGTATGTGGATTGGAGTAAGGGCTTGGTGGATAATTGGGGGATGTCCAAAGTGTCGGTTTGCGGGTTTCTGCAGTCATGTAGTTCGGTTTGGAGTCGCTCCTGTAGGGGTTTGTCTTTGAGGGCCTCGAAGAGGTACCAGAAGACAGCACGGACGGCGTTGGCGTTGGCTCTGTGGACTGGTTAACTTGTTTCAAAAAAGGAAAGAAAAAAAGGGCGTACCCAAACAACAACCCCAAATTGTCTGAAGCAATAGCATCATCATCCAATCCGTGCTTCCGCATCAAATCCTCGTGCGCCTTGATATACCTAGTCCCAAAGAACTCATCCCAATCCGCATCATCCACGCCATGCTTGGAGCAATCCGAGTGCTGATACGCCATCCGATTCCACGCCTTGAGATTAGCAAGCTGCCGATCCCTCGTCCTATACGCAGACGGGATCATCCACCGAGGCAGCCTGCGAGAGTAATTTGCAAGCTGCCGATCGAATTCCCAAAAGTCCCCGACCAGAGTCGGGTACACTTCCAGGATGCGCGAGTCCATCATCGCCTCGATCACCGACGGGGTTACTTGGCTTTGAAGTCAGGTGTAGAAATCGGGGATCTCTAGCCCTTTTTCTCCTGTGGGGACAGCGAGGTATCTTTCTGACATGGTCAAGAGTGATTTCCCGGAGAGGTACCTGATGTTGATGCCAAGTTGTAGGTCATGTAAGTGTGGATGCGGGCCATGGTGGGAATTGTAGTGGTGCAATGAGTCGACGGGCGTGTAGAACCATTTCCGCATGGCGAACATGATTATCGGCCGGTTGGCGAGTATCCGCGATGAGCGTATGATACTCCGGATGTGACTGGGGTTTGTGACCATGATGAACTGGAATGTTCCTGCGCGAACCTTGAGGGGAGATTGGTATCCCCAGCGTTTCCTATATCAATCAGAAATTCAGAATCAGTGTTTGCTCTTTTTCTTCCGTTGGAGTTACTACTAACACGGTGGCAGCCAGAAAGTTGTCCATGCTCCATTCCAGACGAAACGCATGACACAGGCCCGGGAGATAGTACGGGATGGTTGGTGGCCTTTTCTCTGGGTTGTCGCTTTGTCTAGTCCAGAGAAACCGGAATAGAGAAACAATGTAGGTAAGGATGAAAAGAACCAATGTTCCCAGTGCAGCCAACTGAGCAGATGATAGGGCAAGCTGCCATTCCACATTTAGTGACATAATGCCAAAAAGATCATATTCCATTGCCATGCTTCAAGAGGGGAACGAGACTCTGGTGACAATTACCAGGTAGCCTTCGCAACTCATTATATACGGTGGTTCCCGTAAGCAAGAACTGTGCTGTATGCTACATCCTCGGCAGACATGCATATGATCATCAGCAACGATGATGATCGAATCAAGTATCATCCGGGCTATACCGTACATTTACAGCTTTATGTGATATCAAATGAATCTGTTATTGCTTATTTGACGTACCCAAGCCCTATGGTATTGCGGCATGTTCGCTAGGGTGTCGGTCAATCTGATATAATTGGCTGCAATTGCGTAGCTAGATTGAGTATCATGTTGACTCGCAATCCCGATCCCTGTTGGATTGGGCTGGGGTATCCCTCTTGCTTTGTCCATGGACCAGTTTGGTTCAATCTGTGGAAAGCAGCTTGTCGACAAGTCTCACCATCCATGCTATGTATTCTCACCCTACTTGCCACCTGTATGGTCAAATTACCTTGTGATGCGGAAGAGACACAGCTCTACGCTTCCCGCTCCTGCAATCAATCTACGCAGAGAAATTACGTCTCCGCGTGCACGTCTTCATTGTCCGCGCTCCGACGCGCTTTGATATGAAGATCAGGGATTGGGTTGTTCCCTCCGGGAATGCGCTGCTCGTTAGCTCTACTCCAGCTCATATGGACGTGCAGGTGTGGAATACAGGCGTGCATAACAGTGACGATGAACATCCCGTCGATGGCTTCTGGGCTGAGCGGTTTCTTAAGATTCCCGGTATTGCGGAGAGTGGGCCTAGAAAGGGCCAGACAATCTCCGGGGAAGAAAGACATTTTGAACCTGGACCTGGTCTTGGACATGGACATGGAACTGAGCCAACATTCGCACTAGACGATGTCGAAGGCGCGTGGATCCCATACGGCGGGGGCCCGCGAATGTGTCCGGGGCGGCATTTTGCGAACGGGAGACGATTTATACAGCGGCGGTGATGGTGACTTTGTTTGATTGTGAGGTTCTTGCGGATGTTCGCGCGTTGGGGATGGATATGAGGGGGTTTGGGTTTGGGACTTTGGGAGCGGTGCGGATGAGGCGACGTGTTTGACTTCTGCGTATCAATCGAAGTAGGCTGTCTTGTCGGCTTTGTATAAGGGTATTTGAGATAACCAAGGACAGGATAAGTAGCAAGCGACTTTTCATTTTTGTAACCGAGTCTATGTGCACCGATAACAAGAAAACCCGAAATATGTAGATACATAAGAGTACAATCAAACAAAAAGAGAAAACCAACGAATGTAGGCCAGCCCAGTATGTCCCACACCTTTCCTAATATGTGCTGCCAGCCCAATCCAATCCAATCCTTTTTAACCAAAGAAAACACCAAGTCAAACCAACCGTTTTTGCAAAACCGCCAATCGCTGAGAAATGCATGACACAATGCAAGGAATGTAGAGAAGCACAATATATAAAACAAAGCAAACAGACGCAAACAAGCTCAAAGTCAAGATATAAAAACAAATGAGACAACGATTGACAGATTAAAAGCAATGAAAAAGTGAAGGAATGGGCCAAGATCATAAAGTCGTCCAAGTCTATAAAACACAAAAACAAAAAAAGAGGCAAAATGTTCAGAATGCAAGTTAGCTGGTGGGAAATAGAGAGTACGACGAAGTTCGACTCTTCTTCCGACCCGCATTCTTGACAGTTCCTGTTTGGGGAAGAGAAGGCACCACGTCAGCCTTGGCCGCCTCGATAAGATCAGAGGTCGACTTGGCGCGGTCGTGCGACACAGTGCCAGGCGAGATGTCCGCAGAATCCAGGCTGGCAGTGCTGCCAAACAGAGCCTGGCTCGTCTCAAGGCTCTTAGTCTGGCGGTGGTGAGCCTCCGGCAGGCTGGGCACCGAGGGAGACTCGGCGGGCATGGTCTCGCGGCTGCTCGCCAGGCTGTGGATCAGCTCCGGGACGCTGGTGGTCGAGATGGAGGAGCGGTGCTTGCGGGCGATGGACGCCGCGCGCGAGAGGATCAGGCTCTCCTGGGAGTTGCAGTTGCTGATGGGAGAGAAGCTGCTGCGCGGGGAGACCTGGTGGTCCATGGGTGCTTTGATTACCCCCTGGGAGCAGAAGGAAAAATGGCGGTCCGATGCGGCATCCGCATTGTACTCGTCATACAGCGTGTCCTGGCTCATGTTCTTTCCCTTAGTTGAAGCGAAGAAAGATGCAGGAACTTGTTGGAAGTAGTCTCCCTCGTACGTGGTGGTCGATGGAGTCACGGCAAACTGAGTGCTGGGCACCGATCGAGACGGACTCGGGTCCAGATCCGGGCAGGCCAGAGACGACGTGCTCAGATGCGTCGACTGTGGCTTGGAAGACTGCTCCTCCTCGTCGGGTTCTTCCTCGATCACTGGGTGTTGAGGCTCATCGAACGAACGGCGAGTCCAATCGAAATCGGATGTTGATTCAGCAGCATGTTCATAGCAGTAGTCGATGTCAGCATCCCAGGAGTCGATGTTGATGTCAATGACCGATTCACGCTTCGAGACACTGCCACGGGAAGCCTGTTGAGACTTTCGATGTGCTTTCTCTTGAGGTTGCTGCTGCTGGTAAAGACGGTATTGAGGAATAGTGGGCGATGCGAGCACTTCAGAAAACTTCTTGGAGAGCTCTTCAGCCACGCAGATGGACGGGTGCGACTTGGGAACCGAGAGGTTGGAAGACGAAGGTCCCATGTCAGCTGGGGCGGGGCTCAAACGGCGAGAATCGGACTTCTCTGCCTGCTCAGGGCTGTCATGCCAGTGAGTAGTCGCCTCTTCCTCTTCGGGAACATCCTCCAGGTCCAACGCGAGGTTGGTTGACGAGATTCTCGCATCAGTGCCGACAGAGCCCGCGCGAGGACGGCTCTCATCATCCGACTCAAACAGACCAGCCAAGTTCATCTGCGACAAGGATGGCTTTCGGGGGTACACCAGCTCATGGTAATCTTGCTGGGTTGCGTTCATACCCAAGACATCGTCAATGACCCGAGTTTCCGGCTCAACCAGATCCGGGGACGCAGACGATTGACGGGAAGGTCGCCGGGGAGGGCTGGTGATGCTGGAGGTGGAGCCCGTTCTGGGGTAGCGAGAGACGGGACGGGAGAAGTTCTCATAGACGCGCGATTCCCGTTGTGCCGGCTTGGCCTTGGGACTGACGGACGATGCAGCACCAGGAGAAGCCGGAGGGCTTGCGGGGGCATCGGGGGCATCGGGGGCATCGGAAACAGCGAAGGCATGCTCATCATCGCCCGAGGTAGCCACACCGGGAGCCAAATCTTCAGACGAAAAGTTGCGGAAGTGAAGGTCCTCTGCACGAATACCCTTGAGACTGTTGATGGGCTTTTGTGAAGCACGAATGGCCGAGAATTCAGTGACGAGCTCGTTCTCCCGAGCTCGTTGGAGAGCCTGGACATGCGACGGACTGGTGTGCGTCAAGTGGTGGAAGTCAAAGGGATCCGAAATCAGACGCTTCAAGTTGTCATCTGACCTGGCATCACTCTGACGGGACCGATGACGCCCAAAGATATCAGTGACGTCGAACCGGGGCTTCTCACGCTCACCCTCATCAACCTCGTCCAATGTGGCAGAGATATTGAACTTGCTGCCCTGACGACGGAGAATGCGACTACCCCGGGAGAAGAGCGACTTGGTGATGCTATCCTGTCTTTCAGTCCGGAGAGGAGGGAACTGTCCCGCGGGGTAGGAGGACTCGTGGGAGGGGAATGACGGAGCTTGATCGGTGGAAGTCATAGAGGAAGCGGGAGAACGGCGGGAGGAAGAAGAGGTTGTCGTAGAGGAAGTAGTGGTAGTGTTGCTGCGAGAACGACCACTGAAGACGGAGCGACGCTTAGGACTGTTGGGAAAGACGTGCGCAGAAGAACGGGAACGAGCATGAATGGGATCAGAGTCGTGGTGGTGGTGGTGGTGGTGGTTGTTGTTGTTGTTGTTGTTGTTGTTGTGAGTGTCTTCCCGTGGGGGGAACGAGATAGACGGATGAGCAGAATGCATCTGTATTTGAAATATATGTATATATATACTGGGATATATGTATCCTGAATATTCGGTGACAGAAAAAGAAAAGGGAAGAAACAGGAAAAAGAGTGAAAAAAGGATAGTGAGTTTTTTAGACCATTCTGGTCAGACCCAAATTATGGACGATGGTTTCAGGAGGAGAACTGCTGTTTGGGGTTGGAGCAGCCACCGACTATCAATACAGTCCCAAAGAAAAGATAAAGAGGGGAAATATGGTAAAAGAGAGAAAAGGGTAAGAGACAAAAAGAGAGAATAAAGAGAAATGGGAATAAATGAAAGTCGAGGAGTAATGGTAGTTATAATAGAGGCTGATCAGGGCCCAGAATAAGGAACGTGGGAGAGAGATTAAATGCGAGAATAAAAAGAAACGAGCGAGGGCCACCGATCCTTCTGCACGTCGTCGAGAGGTATTTATTAGTTCTTCTTTTTTGTACTCTGTAGTTCTCTTTATATTATTCTCTAGAGTTATCGTGCTGGCCAGCATAGCTATTTCTATTGAAGATACCTTCTGATACACAATTCTATACCCCCTCCCTCACAGAACACTGATGCAGGCTCATGTACCTCAAGTACCTCAGGTACAGGTACAGGTGCAGCCCGGAGGTTGGCGAATACCGGTAAATACAATAATACCGTACCAAAACCACACGTTCCAACCCGGTGGATTCGCCATATTGGGAATGGATTGCCGGTATACGCAGTAAACTATGAGGCATAGTAGATACTACCAGTTAGACTACCGGGAGTTATGGTGATAGATCGATAACTATACCGGTAGACTAGTGATGGATATCGACCGACGTTATGAACTATATCTGAAGAGCTAGTACTCTGTACTTTGAACGGAGTAGATACGCAGTCGATAACACGGAGAATACGGGAGAGGAGAGTGTCAAACACAAGGTTCACAACGGCTGTGGACCAACCGGAGCGGGGTTAAAAACACAAACACTTCGTTATTGCCTCGAAGGATCTCCATCCATGTACTCCGGAGTACGATTATGTTCCTCGGTAAATGCCCCAGGAGAATAGCAATTGTAGATAGTAGTAAATAATCCTGTGGGTATATGTACTCTGTATGTACCAGTCAGCATAGAATCACACCGCTGTACCTGCATCTGCACGTTCTGTATACTGTTTAGGGATAGCTTGAGTGTGCCAGAGATGCATACTCACTCAGTACTCGGAGTACCCATAGGAATAGAGGCTCGTCGGACACCTTCCGGGAGTCACATGACTGCACCAGGTCCGCAGATGTGGTTCTCTCTGTAACAATAGTACACTGCTAACCTGCAAGGAACCATTTTACCCATTCCACACTTCTTTTAGTGACTCTTGATTGCTTTTTTAAGGCACGCATCGTATCCTTGACTCAAGCCCAAAAGCAATAACTAGATACTATTAACTCGAAGAAGAAAATAGTGATACCAACTTTGCGTATTCTGACTCTGTATTCAATACCTCCTGACGATCTCCGTGTCTAGAACCGCGGGTTCTCGCCTGCCACCTTTCCTTTTTCGGTACGCGCGTCGTGCATCTCGGAAGCGTATGCTCTAGTAGTAGTACTATATGTGTACATCCGGAGAGGAAGCACGGTGCAGTGTAGGTGCACTGCTGGAATCCGGAGTATTTCTAAGAATATGGATACGTACGTGCTAGATTCGATGTTTGCTCGCGTACTCTGTACTTGAGGTCATCGTGCTGGAGTAGTAAAAGCAAACATGTTGCCGTCTTCTAGAAGCCCCTATTTCCCTCAAGGTTTGTGCCGGTCGCTGGTTAGCTGAACTTTCGCGCACGTGATATCTATACAGGAAGAAGTAGCCCACGTGCTCATTCATAGTATACAATCCATTCAACGCCGTCAATTAAGTACAGAGACCATAGTAAACACAGTAGAGAATTATTCATCCTCCTTCATCTCCGTGTCTTCATCCCCCTTGTCATTGAACAAGTCATCCTCGTCCTCGTCGCCGCCACCACCAGCTCCAGTCTCTCCTGCCTCCTCTTCATCCTCATCATCAGCAACACGGCGGCTGGGCTTGCTCCGTCGTCGCTGCACCGCATCATCTTCCTCATCCCCTTGCCCTTCTGCAGGTGCGCTATCACGCATCTCCTCATCCTTGTCTTCCGTCACCGCAGGTTCAGCATCGTCCTCATCAGACGACTCCACGACCTCACTACTCTTAAACTTGCCCTGCTGCACCTTTCCGCCAGACCGCCGTTCCAGCCTGCGTCGTTTCTTAGGTGCAGCGCCTTCATCCTCGTCTCCGCTCTCTGCATCCTCACTCGGCTTCTTCTTCTTCTTTGTCTTGCGCTGCTTCTTGCGGCTTGCACCACCGTCTTCTTCTTCATCACCGCTTCCACCTTCGCCTTCCCCTTCACCCTCGCTGATGAAGTCATCATCCTTCTTCTTGCGCTTCGACGACTTCTTCTTCCGCTTGACCTTGTCACCTGTGTCCGAGTCCGTCGTCATAACCGCCTCTTCCTTTTCTCGCTCGCGCGCCATCCGCTCTTCAGCTAGACGCTGCGCTTCTTCAACCATTGCCTGTCGCTCCTCTGCGACCTTCTTCTTACGTTCTTGTTCCATCTCGCGCGCCTTGAGCACATCCTCTTCCCGTTTCCGGATAGCGACTTCCCGGGCCTCCCGAGCCTGCTGTAGTTTGCTGGCGTTCTTCTCTTCGTATTCCTTCTGCTTCTGCAACGCACGGTCCAGCTGTTTCATGATGGTCTTGCCCATGTTCGCACGCTGTTCCAGGGAATCCGCCGGATATGGCGGGTTCTTGGCCTTGGCCAAGCGCCCGAACGTCTCCACGGCTTCATTGAGACCCGCTGCGGCTTCTTCTACTTCTTTCACCGTCTTCTGGGTCTCGGGTAGGCCGTATGCCAGCTGTGCGATTTGGTTTTGGACGAACGCGACGTTGAATTCCAGATGTACCTGTCCCTGGGTGACGCTGAGGGCTCGCTGTGCGTACTCTAGGGCTGTCTTCATGGCGGATAGGTTCGTCTCCTGCTTGCCTCGAAGCAACCAGACCCTGCCCAGACATGCCAAGATTTGCGCGTCGCGCGCACGGTCCTTAGAGAGAGCCGATTCGTAGTGCTCAATCGAGCGCGAATACTGGCGCAGTTCGGCATACACGTGCCCAAGGTTCAGGTACACACTGGCGTCTTTCAAGGTATCGCGGATCCGCGAGAAGATGTGTACCGCCGTTGCGTGGTCTTTGCGGTCGTCAACCAGGGCAATCGCAATACCCTGAGCCGCATAGGCGTTCCGAGAATCCAATTGGAGCGCCTTGTCGAAGAATTCGACGGCACGCTCGTACATCTTGCGTCGCTTTTCTTTCTCTTGGTCTGTGTCGCGGCGCATGTCTCGGGCCGTTACCAAGTGGACGTTACCCATTCCCGTGAGCGAGTACCGGTCATGCTTATCATGATATTGCAGCGTGTGCTTGTAGTGTCGCTGCTCGTGGTCTTCCGCCAAATTGGTGGCCCGCTTCTTCGATTTGCTCAGGTACCACCCGAACAGCGCCCGCACTTCAAGGTTCGTCGAGTCAACTTCGTACAACTTGGCCATCCGCTTCGGTCCTTCATCTGTAGGACTCTGTCGGAGAGCAATGTATGTCAACCGTGCGTTCGCTTCAGTGTAGTCTGCATGTCGCTCCAATAGTCCCTCGTAGACCTTCTTGGCTTCCTCGGGCATATCGGATGATTCGTATGTCCGACCGAGGTTGTAGCTGACCGTAGTCACGAGTGCGTCGGTGTCGGCGTCGGACTCCTTCTCCTGGGACTTGACGCATGCGTTCAACGCCGTCTGGAACATCGCGCGTGCCTGGTCGATCTTTTCGTTCTGGTACAGGAAACAGCCCATGTTGTTCAGAAGCGGCGGCGGAAGGTTCTCCCGCAGAAGCGCGTTCCTCTTGTCCTCATCCTCGACGTCGTCCGGGAGCCCGCTAGCGGGGACCTCCGCCAGTTGCATCTGCTCCAGCTGCGTCAGGCATTGCATGCTCTTCTCGGGAGCTGTCTGCTCGTACAGCCGAGCCAGGTACACCAGTACCGACTCATCTGGCGAGATTTTCTTCCCACCAGTTTCTTTCCACAGTGCACGGACAGACTCTAGCAGGCTGATCGCTTTCTTAGCCTCTGCAGACTTGTCTTCTTTGCTACCACTCCGCTGCGCGGCAAAGACCTCCTCCGCGTGCAGAGCACCGAGAAGAATCATACACTCGGGGTTCTTCGTCTGCTGGATGATCTTCTCCAGTCGGAACTTGGCTCCGTCGTGGTCCTTGTTGCTCACTTGCATCTGTACCGTGCCGAATTTGGCAGGCAGATACCCCTTATCCCCGCCTCCCCGCGCCTGGTCGGAGCGGTTGTAATATTCGGCAGCGCGTGCGAGATCGCTCTCGTAGTGCGCTTTCCGTCCTAAGAGGTACCACCCGTCACTGGCGATCGACATCACGTCCGTGTGTTCAATGGCTTTACGGGCTAGTGTGTCGACCGTGGAGTAGGACTTTCGCAGAAGGAAATAGCTTCCGAACAGGGCGCATGTCATTGGATATTCCTTGTCGAGCTTGAAAGCTTTTTGAGTGTATTGTGTCATCGCAACCTTGTATAGCGAACCAAACGCGGGGTCGGTTGTCGCGTGCCGAGAGCTGTCGTAGAGATAGTAGACTGCGAGTAGGATATTGGCAACCTTGGAGTCAGGGTTCTAACCTTGTTAGTATCATCCACGAAAAGCCAATAGAATTAACCACATACCAAAGCTAGTGCCCGCTCCCAAGCACCCTTCGCCTGGTCCTTGAATCCAAGCTGCCATAAGCAACAGCCGATACCAATTCGCGGATCCGGGTCGGTCAGGTTGGGCATCCTCATCAGAGCCTTTTGATACCCATCCAGCGCATCCGCGTATCTTCCCAGTAGATATTGCGCTCTGGCACGTCCCATGATAGCCATTATGTTCCGGCCGCCAAAGGCCTTGGACGATTCATCAAAGCATTTCAATGCCTGTCGTAGCGATTCCACTCTCTCAGATGTATCCACAGTCCCCGGCCGAACAGGTCGCGGAGGGTACAACGAAGCGCGCAGCAGCGACAAGACACCTCTCGCCAGGAACAACGGCGGAAACGCAGGATTCAACCGCGATGCCTCGTTCAGCGTCGACGTCGCTAGCTGCAGATAGTAATCCTTAGTCTTGGCCTCCGTGTACAGCTCCCCTTCCGACGCAACGCGAGGCGCCTGCCGACTCTTCAGCATCAAAAGCCAGCACACCCAGCCCAGCAGCACGAGCTTCTCCTTGGTCGCTCCATGAGCCACCGAGGCCAGGCCTTTATTGAGGATGTCGATGGCATGATCGATCTGTTTCTGCTTCGCGTACGCGAGCGCGATGATCACCCAGAAGTTCTTCGCGGCTTTTTCGTTCTCCAGCAACGTGCACAGTTCAGTCGGGTCATCGGGGAGTCCTTCGAGACTGACCTCGACTTCGCTATCGAGGGTCGACGCGGGAATATCGATGGCCGAAGGAATGTCGGAGAAGCGCTGGTTAAGGGAGGAAGGTTGGGATTCGCCATTCAGGCCATTGGTATGGCCATTCTCTAGAGTCGTCATGGTAGTTTGTAGCGCTGAGATAAGCGCCTAGGACTCGTTGGTCCGTCCTGAGACGATAGGCGAGTAAGGTAGGTAGCTCACTGGAGAGGTTGCGACTGTTTCGGGGAAGAGATGGAAAGGTGTTTGAGAGCCAGTTGTAAAGCTCAGCTCATGATCGTATTAAAGACGCGATCCAGCGGTCCATCAAGCATGGAAGTAATTAAAAAGCGCTCTTGATGGACATGCAAACACAGCAGCTCCCGTGTTACTGTAGGAGCAGACAAGAAGATTGTTTCGATAGACTTGTCGAAGTCCGTGATGCGGATTGCGGCCTGAGGCTACTTGGGCTAGTGATGTGGCTGGTGCACACCGCCACAGCTGGTATGGCTTTACAGGCACTTTTTGTTGGAGAATCTACGGAGTACAACATAGTATACGGGAAATATCGAAAAGTGTTGAAGAATGGAGTCGAGCTATTCAGCTCAATAAAGCAAGATCATTATTAACGTCATCTCGTCTCGTCTCGTGTGCATCTCTCATGCACTAATAATAACAACAAGAATAATTATAATGATAACAACCAAGGGTATAGCAATAGCATGACCTCATCAGACATCACATCAGTCACCAAATTCCCAAAAGGATCGGCAATTTGCACAAGCAAACAACGCCAAATAACACTCCAAATATCTGCAAAAGTTCAGTCCAGTGGCCCAATCGGACAGATGTCTCGGCATATCCGTTGGAAGCAGCAATTTTCTGCTTCTCAGACCCGTACCCGGTTTCGATGGTTCCAGCCAAGTCGGTAGGGAACCGACCGGTCTCATAGCACTCTTCAATCAGTTGGTCCTTCTCCGTCCACCGTGCCAGAAGCCATTTCTCAAAATCCTTCTGGTCATCTAACGGAATCTCAGAGACTCGATACCGCCTCCAGTGCATGTTGACGCACTTTGGTGGCCGTCCTTGCAAGCATGTTGATCGGAGTGTAAAGTACTTATCGGGGTAGCTTCCTCTTCTGCACAACAGTGTTAGTTACCACGACTTGAGAACATAATACAGAATATATCTACTTACGGAGGTCCTTCGTAAGCTACCGTGCAGTCGTACACCCAGTCCACAGTTCCCTTCAATTGCTGCAAACAGAAGAAAAGACCGGTCGATCGGGGAAGCAATGCGTGCCTCAGAGGCGGAATTCCTACTTTCTTCCCATATGCGTCGCTACGGCGCTTGGTGTTGATGGATAGATTCGTCCCTTCGGGGAAGATCAAAAGCCACATGGGATCGTACTCCGGATCTTCGGACTTGGAACCCTCGTGCTTGGTCTTGAGCTTTTCCAAACGATGCTGAAGTCGTGGCTTATCAGAAAGCCACTTGCGAGCCATGAAAATGAAGCCATAAAACATCATACCCTGACCAAGGAGCGGGATATACTTGAGGGATTCCTTGAGAATAATGAACACTCGGCCGTGCATCACGTTGGTGTAGGCAAGCCACCATATATAGATCCAATCTGTGTAGACCTGATGGTTGGCAACCAATACCATACGTTCTGAAAATTGCGCCTTCAACCGCCCATCTTCCATCAAATGAATCTGGCCTCGCACGCTCGCATCACCGCAGACTCGAACCGGAGTTGGACAACCCCACTCGGTAAGAAAGCTAATCACCAAACCAAAGGCTTGCTTGGTCATTGCCATATACGAGTAGTACCAATCTTTATTTATCACGTATAACGGCGTTCCAAGCAGTTGAGTCACGATGGTGACCACGGCGCAACAGTTGAAAAATGTTGCCAGAAGAAGTGATCGGACGATTTGCATGGGGATGCCATGCTTTAGGCGGGGCTCCGGCTCGTTGGGCTGCTGCGGTCCTTTCGCACCATCGGTAGACGGTGGTTGTTTTCGTTGTCGCAGCTCGGGGTTGTCCATGATGAATGTCAACAAACGGCCGGCTGCCGTCTGAAAGTATATCTCAAGGTTATCGCAAGGAGAAAGAAGAATACGGTCGATCCTGCTGAAGATAGGTATTTTGTCAGACCCCGCACAAGCAAACAACGAGAAGGGAACGGTTGCGAGATACTCTTTAGATGTAGAAAAGCGGTGTTTGCTGGTAAAGAGTGTGTTCCAGCTCTTGCGGGTATTCCGGAAAGTCAAATCACTCAGGGGTCAAAGAGGGTTAACGCTGGAATCAAGCCATACTCCCAAATAAACCGCCAACAACCAGTACGAAACACGAGGAAGACGCAAAAAGAACGAGACGATGTTTGTTCCGAGGCCAGCAGGACTCTTTCCAGGCACGTGAGGATCTTTTGGGCAGGCAGAAATTACGTCAGGGCAGGAAGGCGGTCAGCAGATCATTCTCCGATCATTTCTTGTCAGTTCAGATGCTTGAGCTCTTGTAGCTTGAGAATCTACTCTTTTTCCTTGTCTTTTAACCAGCTTGGGATATTGGTGCTCAGTAGTCAATCGGAAGAAAGCAGAAATGCAGCACCGTCACCAGTCCTAAAGCATTGGCTTCAATCGTCAGATCTTCCCCGCAGATCAAGATATATGCACATGTAGTACATACTGGAAGATGGCATGTGAGTGATGTGAGTGGGATGCAGTGTGCTACCTTTGAAATCTTGAGTGAATCTATGCTGATTGGTGACTATATTGTAGTTATCCTAAAACGTTCTGCTAGAATATATCATCGACTATGTTTCGCACACAAGCCATAAGATCCAAGTTCCCCAAATGGGGACAATGGACACGAAACTTCTCGGTATCTGCGCGCCGCGACGAAATCAGAGACATTGAAACCCTACCCCAGCGCTCACTGCCCGGATACCAAGGTGCGTCTCCATGCTGGTGACATTCTCATGGCTACTTGCTAGCCAACGACCTCCGCCCCGAGAGTAGGCGCTGACTTCTGGTGACTTCAGAATCCCATGAGGGCGATCTCCTTTCACTCCAATGGCCGGCACCTCCTCGAAACATCTTTATCGTGAAAAAGGATTTTGCACCCTCCGTGACAGAGGCTCTTGTCGAATTTGTCAAGTACGACCATAAACTCCCATACTCGCTGTGAAAACCATTTTCTGACAGTTCTACGATTGAAGTCATGTAACGTCTACGTATCCATCAACTGCCATTGTCCTCGAACCGAAGACCGCCGAAGAAGTACATTCGTCCCTCCCATTCCCCGTTTACTCGACAAAGTTTGATAAGAAACCGTCGGCATTACATGATAAAGTGGACCTTACTGTTACACTTGGGGGAGATGGGACTATTTTACGGGCATCATCACTTTTCGCAACATGTAACAATGTGCCGCCAGTGCTATCATTTGGCATGGGAACCCTGGGATTCTTGAGCGAATGGAAATTTGCCGAGTACAAGCGTGCCTTTCGAGAAGTATACATGTCCGGGGCTGGAGTAGGCGATCGTGCCCCTGTCCTTGAAGGCCCTCAAGCAACCCTTGCGGAGGATGATGCGGAAACACAGACAGACCAAACTGGCTGGTCATCAGTGCGGGGGAAATCCATGGGCGCTACACGCGGGGCGCGCATATTGATGCGAAATCGCCTGAAGGTGGGCCTTTTCACGACAGACGGAAAGCCAGTGGGACAACATTCAGAGCCCGTACCATCGCAGGGAACTCTCGGGGCCCAGGGGACGTATGTGATGAACGAGGTGCTGATTCACCGGGGTAAAGAGCCGCATTTGGCGGTGGTCGAGGTGTTTGTCGGAGGACGCTTCCTTACGGAGGCGGTAGCTGATGGGATTATCATTTCGACGCCAACTGGGAGTACGGCATATAGTTTGAGTAGTGGTGGGAGCATCGTTCATCCCTTAGTGCCGTCGGTTCTGTTGACACCGATTTGTGCGCGCAGTCTCAGCTTCCGGCCGCTGGTTCTGCCATCGAGTACACCAATCACGCTGCGACTTAGCGAGAAGAATCGCGGACGGGAGCTTGAAGTCAGCATTGACGGGGTCAATCTGGGCCAAGGAATGGCCGTCGGGATGGAGGCACGGGTATGGAACGAGGTGATGCGGCACGGCAAGAACAACTGGTCCGGCGGCGTACCGAGCGTCATGCGACGGATCATGGGTGAAGAGGCTCACGAAGGCTGGGTGGGTGGCTTGAACGGATTACTGAAGTTCAACTACCCTTTTGGCGAAGAGCAGCCCTAATAGACCAAGACTGACTCGCACGTGAATGGCCCGAGGTCGCTTTGTATCCTGAGGCATCTACAACGGCACAGCGGCCAATGATCGATCCCGGCTCCCAGCCACCGACAACTGGAGCTCAGCTTGTCTTAGTTTCAGCTCGATGTATTTATTTTATATTGCTTGCGCAATGCACGGACGGATGCTGGTTTTTTCATCCTTTCTCCTGTGTTTTGCATCGACTCCAGACGCACATTCCCACGCCATTGCATCGGAATTTTGACGTTGGATCGTTGTTTACTTGTTGATATATCTTGCCTGTCTTATTATTGTACATTTTGACCTCATACTACCGAGTACTATCACAGAGTACTACTAGTACAGACACCGCCAATTCCCAGTTCACCGTACTTAATTGTACAACGCCTGCCACGCAGGAATAATTTATACATACATATCCACTGTGGAGAATAAGTTTGCATTTCACGCAGCTGCAAGGCTTGTTTGTGTCAATTCATCCAAACAATCACCTACCTCGGGGGACCAGCCAGCCAGCCTTCTCTCAGCCACCGATAACCTCCCAACCACCAACCCCTACGAACAACCAAACCACACCAAACCAAACCTCAACAACAGAGCAAAATGGTCTGGTTCGACAACCGCTCCAACGTCTCCTCAAACTCCAACTCCCGCTCCCACCGTCGCCGCTCTCCCTCGCACCGCTCCCACTCCCGCTCCAATTCCAACTCCAACTACAAACAACAAGCCCACAGCATGCCCTCAAACCACAACAACTACAACTACGGCTCAGACTCCAACGTCAATGCTCCCAGCGCCGCCTCCGGCCGCAAAAGCCCCTCCGCCTCCGTCTACTCCGGCACCACGGCCTCATCCTCCACCCGCCGCCGCGCGAAGCCCCGAAAGGGCTTTGTTAAGCGTGTCGTTCGCTCGATTCGGCAGGTCCTCCGGGACATTCATGATTATGCGCGGGAGTTCCCGTACAAAACATTCTTTATGGTCATTGTGCCGTTGATTGCAACGGGAGTGCTGCAGAAGTTGTTGGGATTCATTGGGATTAAGTTGCCGAAGAGGATCTTTGGGAGACTGGCTAGGCCGCCTTCGTTTGATGGGTTGAAGGCGCATGTTATTGCGTTGATTCGGGTTGCTAAGTGGGCTGTTAAGTCTTAAGTGTGCTGAATCTGGATTTGGTTTTGTATTTCGGGTTGGCTTCATTGATGGGAAGGTAATCTGGTTATGATGATACGAGATATGTTTCTGTTTTGTTTGATTATTTTGATTATTTTGATTATTTTCGATTCTTGTTTACTGCTATGATTTTATGTATGTATTCTGATTGGGAGGATCGCAATGATTTTGTTTTCTGTTATTTTGTTGAACAATAGTATGGGTGTACATTTTTATATACTGGCAGGTGAACTGCCATTTTCGTCTGATCAATCGTAGCACTCAAGTCATTACGACCTCTGTGACCGCTTCTTCCCCCTTCGTCGAGATGATCCGCCGTTCGAGGTCGACGCAGAGGTAGTTTCTGGGACAGCCCATGCGGCCGCCTCTGGCATCTCCTCTTCACTGGCATCATCATCATCATCAACGACCTCATCGGGGTTTCCAAGGACCCGTCCGACTGTCTTCCCGTAGAACCATCCCGGGAAACGGAAGATCATGGTATCACGGAAGGTAGGCCGATGGATCTCATCAATGTCGAGCAGGAACTCCTGGCGTTCGCCTTCCTCGGACTCCTCCTCCAGATAGACATTACCGACCGAGTCGACGATAAGAACCTTGCCATTCTCAGCAACGACACGCTTGCGCTCGCCGGTGGGTTCGGTGGTCGACGGCGCGGCTGGCGTAACGGAAGTGTTACGCGAAGATGTCCGCGTCGGACCCTTCTTCTCTTTCTTGTTCTCCCGGTCCATCATGCGCTTCTGTCTGCGGTTTATGGGCATGGCAGCTGCCTCACTGTCTCCCTCGGGGGTAGGCGCAGGGGCAGTGGAGTCAATGCCAGGAATTCCACGCACGCCTATCTCATCACCCCAAGCAGCCCGTCTCGCATGACGAATATACCGATCGACAAACTCCCGCTGACGCTTCCAGCTAAGCACCAAAGCAGCGTAGTGTGCGGCACCGCCAAACACCAAAAACAGACCGATCAGGACAGAGCCCAAGCCAGGACGGTATCTCGAGTAGTAGTATCCCGTACCCTTCCATTTGGGAAATCCGTTCTTGAGGAAATGGTCGTAGCGTTCGCGGGAGGGGCCACGGAGAATATTGGCAACGGTGTTCAGACGGGAGGAGCGTTCGGTGGCTTCCTTGACGACTTTTTCGATCTCGTGCCTCGAGGGGCTTTTGTTCACATTGGTGCCTCCCTTTTGTTTCTGGGACTTGGATTTGTCCTTGGAGGCATTGGCGACAAAGGCACGCTCAACCTTGTCGGGGTGTATGAGACGGGATTTCTTGCGGTAGGCTTTGTTGATTTCTTCCTGGTTGGCGCTGGGGCGGGATCCTAGGAAGTCTGAAAAGGTATTAGCAAAGTCAATTGGCATGGAAGTAAGAGAATGTACCGTAAAAAGTGACATTGTGTCCTTCCGCGGCAATGACTTCGTCGTTCAAGCGGAAGATTTCATAGTCCTCCTTGGTCCAGGCCGCGGCCACAACGAGCAGGACGGCGAACAGGGCCAGGCGGAGAGTGAAGAGTTTCATCTTGGGCTGTTACGCCCAATGATGGGAATTGAGAGAAATGAGAGGGAGAGGAATAAACAGGAAAAAGGTAGTGAAGAAAAGAAAATCTGGAAATTGGGAGGTAACTGATAAATGAAGCGATTATCTGGCCATTCCTTTTTGGGCGGTGTGATAGTACATACAGAACCTATGACCTGTCGTTTCAAGATCCTTTAAGCATTTTTGCTGTCGATTGAGATTTTCTATGGGAATTAAATAGAACAGTGTGTTTTGTACTCCGTACGTATGTCAGGATATGTGTGGCATAGCCTGGATTGTGCTCTATGGCAGGTTGAATCAGCCCTGTATAGCCTAAGGCAGTCTCATGCGAGCTCTACTTGTGCGAAGTCTCATATTAACAAGGATTGCTTCGTTATAGGCGATCTCAGCGTGCTAATACTACGTGCCAATTAGCCATAGCCATTCCATGCTTAACAGTTGATCAATGTCTGCTTGTACAAATATAGACCATCATAGTCCTCGTCCTCGAAGACTGAGCAATCAAGTTGAATCCGCTCTTCCATCTGTCTTCTCCTTTCTCCTCTCTTCCCCTCTGTCTCTCCTCCGTCCCCCCTCCTGCCCAAATGCTCTCTGTGCATGCAGGATGCAGCCATTTCAGGCTTCACTGTTTACTAATGACCGTTCTGGAGGGTCTTTTCAACGTGGACCAATCGTGGATACAGAGAAAACTGCAGGGCTGAGGGGTCAAAGAGAGGAGGGGACATAAATATCGTTTCTTTTGCTCGATCTGTGTGTAGTTTGAATGGTGAGGGTTGACTCGATAGTACTATTTACGGAAGAGGGAACTATAGAGATCAACAGGCACTTTCCAGCAACTCTAGAACAACTGCCAGGCTGAGCACAGAGTGTTATTCTAAATATACTTATTCTCTTGTTATTTTTGACTGTTTCTTTCTATTTTTTTATCTGTCATATATTCAACCAGACGTGGCAGTGCGGTTGCCCCTTATTAGTCCGTGCCTGACGCCGCCGCATGTTTTGTTCCGTCTTTTTTCCTCTTCAACTCCCCGTGGCCTCTTCTTGAATTCCTGAACTTCATCCTTCCTTGATACCTTTTCTTCATACTACCTCTCTACATATTCTACAGCTACGTTCTCACCATGCAGCTCCCTATCAGCGCCATCACCTCGCAATTCAGCGATCGCTTTAACAGCGTCCGCGCCCAGTCCATCAGTTCGCGCTTCGCCAACCTCCGCCCTGTCTCCGAATTCCTCGACGTGAAGCGTTTCTCCAAGCCTGCTCACTTTGGTGAAGCCCAGAGCCGTGTCAACTACAACCTGTCCTACTTCTCCAGCAACTATGCCGTCGTCTTCGTCATGCTCAGCATCTACAGCTTGCTGACCAACTTCCTGCTCCTCTTCGTCATCATCCTCGTCACCGGTGGTCTCTACGGTATTGGGAAACTGGAAGGCCGTGATCTGGAATTGGGTGTTGCTCGTCTCAACACCTCTCAGCTCTACACTGGTCTGCTAGTCGTTGCGGTGCCCCTTGGTATCTGGGCCTCTCCCATCTCCACGGTCCTCTGGTTGATTGGTGCCACTGGTGTGACGGTATTCGGCCACGCCGCCCTCATGGACAAGCCCATCGAGAATGCTTTTTCCGAGGAGGCGGTCTAAGTGGTCGGCCGCGAGCTCCTTACGATACTATGCCCCGATGGGGAAGGCCACCAGGGGCACGACCGGGGGGAGCAGTCAGGGGACGAACGACGGCGGCGGCGACAGCACAGCGGGTGTGGGACGAATTGCGAGTTGCGGAAATCGACGATGCGGAGGAGGATATCCACAATGGAGTGCGGCGGAGTAGACGGGGGCGACAAAGGGCATATAACGACGATGCAGACGAAACGGGGTCGGTGAATGGAGTGGAATATGATCTTTACGATGATACGGATAGCACCGTGGCTTACGCGGTTCAACTGGCGATGCAGGAACGGGAGGACTGGTTGGTGGAAAAGGCATTGGAACGGATTCGGTGTGCACATGTGTCTGGACAGAAGAATGTACGATTGTCGTCGGAGGAACGGGAGGCATTGGATCGCAGACGAGCGCGCCAGACAAATGGGAATGGTTCTACGACAAGACAACGGAGTACGATGAACAGCCCAAACAAAGGAACGAATGGCAGGACTCAAACACGGCGCGGCTCTACTCATAACCGCCGGGGGTCTCAACAACAAACTCATTCATCTCCCGTGATTTCCCTCGACTCGGATTCCGACGGTGACAAGAAGAACAATGATAGTGGAGATGAAGTCCAGATCATCGATGTGGTGCAGCGCCGAGTGCCGGTCAGCCCTACGGCGCAGACGAGGACGAGTGGTCGTTCCCGCGGTCATCGCTAGTTTCTTTTCTCTTTACTTTCTCCCTTTGCTTTTTTTTTTATTGGCTTTATGTTTATTAGTACTTTATTTCTATTCCCCCCGAGTTGTGCCTCTTGCTTTCTCATTGTTTGCGTTTTGTTTCTTTAGGGACGGAATCGTGGCTTACGGTATTCCAAAAGCATACGGAGTTCTGAGTATAGACTAGGATACGTTAATGGATTTCCTTTGAAATATAAATCCTACCCTCGCATTGTTCTTCCGCTTACGGTGGCTGGGGATAGATGACGTCGTATTGTCTGCAGAGCATGAAGTCATTGACAGGCTGACTTTTTTTTTTTTTTTTTTTTTTTCTTTTTGACCGCTGGATTTTATTTGACCGATAGCCGCATAAACGCTGGGGCGGTTTCTTTTTTTATATATGATATTATCTTTTCAACGATTCCTGCGTTGACATCTGCCTTGTGCACTGCCTATCGACTTGCCCGGCGGTTGTCGTACCCCCGTATAACCAGTCCTCCAGCCACTGGGACACGCCGGAATCTTATTCCCTTCTTTTCTCCCCTCTATAGATATAGCAAGATCTGACAAGAAAAGCGACAACGGGTCATTTTTCACTCTTACTTACACAAGTTATTCACTTACTCCAGCGACTTACTCAGAATATTATATAAGACCGAGTACGTACAGCCGTCTAAGCCACGCCCGCAATTTCCGACGATTCCCCATACTATGGAAAACAAGGGAAAAGAAACTTACTGACCCTTTTATAATTTCCAGTCGCTCACTTTAGTCGCTCTCTTATCTTTTTCTGGAATATTTTATTCTATATTCGTTCTTTTTTTACGTTTCTTTACTACTACCGACTCATCCGATCCGATTCGGTCCCTCTTTTGTCGCTGCTCGATAATTCGACTTCCCCTGTCACTGTCGCAGATCCGCATCTTTTGTAACATTCAATCGCAAAGATGTGGATTGTTTCGTTCTGGGTTTTCCCTCTTATATCGGCATGCATGTGGTTAGGTGAGAATAGGAAAGAGGGCACGTGTCTATACAACAATTGGTGGCTGACGGTTCATTGTCTAGCGATGTTGATCGCGATGCTGGTCGTTTGGGCGCATGCAGACGGGGCGCCGGTTTACCCCAGCATGGAAGAGGGGCAGACCATTGCGTACGTTTTCACCTCTATATACCGTCTCGAGTTCGAATGGCCGAATCTAATAATCATGTAGATACATCTCCGACGTTGGCGCCCAACACCTCAAACCCCTGTTCGTCGCCGGCAGCGTGGTGACAGTCGTTTTTCTCGATCTTGGGTTCCTGGCCGAGAGATGGCTACGACATGCGGGACAATTGGTGCCGAATAAGGGTCGTTTCGACAAGGCGTGTGCTATTGGATCCATCTTCTTCTCGATCGCGGGTGCGCTGGGGTTGATTCTGCTGTCGTGCTTTGACACCTTGCGGCACCCGAATAAGCATGACGGATTCCTTGCCATGTTCCTTGCTGGATACATTATTAGCGCCATCCTGATTTGCGCCGAGTACCTGCGTCTGGGTATCTTCTACCGCTCGCAGCACCGGGTTTTGTTCGCTAGTTTCGTCATGAAGTTGACGTTCATTGTTGTCGAGATTGCTCTTGCTATTGCGTTTGGTGTTACCGGAAAGCACAAGAACCAGATGAACGTGTCTTCTGTTCTTGAATGGGGTATGTTTATGTCCTCCCCTCTCTTTGTTTTTGTCATTCGGTTGCTAACGTTGGCAGTCATTGCTTTCATTTTCACCGGTTACGTCCTCTCCTTCGTCGTCGACTTGCTCCCCTCCGTCCGCACCCGTCGTCATGTCCCTCAGGGCCACAAGCAGATTGCTATGACACAGATGGGATCCAACATCACAAGTACCACGGCAAACGAGAATGCTGTCATCGAGGAGCCCTTGACGATGGACTCGACAGGACCTGCTGCCGGATACTACCGTGGCCAGCGGATCTAATCTCGGCAAATTTTTTTTTTTTTTTCTTTTTTTTCTTTTTTCTTGAATGTACTCAGTACTGTAATATTGCGTTCGTTTTGTGATATCCATTGGTTCAATGCGTTGGTGCTTGGCTTTTGGGTTTTTGCTGGGGTTCTCCTTTACCTACCCCTGTACACTGGCTTAGGTTACCAGTGTTTGTTGATATCTATTTGTTGATAATCCCATAGTACAATGCTACTTAAATAAGGAAACTATGCAAGTAACCTCTCCTTGATCTTGTTTTGCGTCTCCGTCCCAACACCCACAATCTCCAAGTACCCTTCGACACCTCCATATCTCTCCTCCAGATACCCGCGAATCGCACCCGTAAACCCAGCAGGACACTTGATATACTCCTCAGGAATCCCTATCGCCCGAATTTCCTTCAATCGCTCCTCAGCCTCAACCACCAATTCCGGCTCAGAACGCACGTAATCCTCAGAAATAGCATCCTCAGGAACATGCGTCAACAGCAGCAGAAGAAGAATGATTATGCCCGTGCGGTCTTTCCCTTGGGTGCAGTGCAAGAGCAGCGGGAATACCTCCCCTTCATCCTCTTCTTCATCATCCTCATAAGTGGTAGGGCCATGCTGGCCTGCCAGTAGGTTGAAAACTTCGTTCATCTCAGAAGTACTGTAATCCAACGTATCCTGCCCAAGCCCAATAAGCCCCCGCGGCGCCATAACCTCCTGCACGACGATTTTCACAGCTTCGGTTCGATAGCCCGAGGCCGAGAGGCCCAATACCTTACTGTTCATTATTAGTCCTATTCTCATTATTTGAAGGTGGGTGAAAGGGGACGTACAAGAAATTCACCCAATCCAACCTCCATATCAACGACCGCTCCCATGCCTTCCCGGTTAGGGAGATAAGCACGCGGTTGATGCCGGGGAGGGTGTCGAGGTGGGTGGAGTCGTCTACCATTAGGTTTGATTGCTCGTCTGGTCCTGTTGCTGCTTCTGATCCAGCTTTTGGATTTGATTCTGGGGTTGGTTCTTGGGTTGGTTGGGGGAGGGGATGCTGTTCGCGCCGTTTATGGGCGGCCATGCGGTGTTCCGTCCTATTTTTCTTGATCAGTCCTTGTAGCTTGATTCAAGGGGACTGGGGGAGAGTACACAGAGCGCAAGTCGATGACAGTCGAAATGTGCAGTTCATCGCTTAACCGGCGTTTATCTCGTTCGGAGGCGTCGTCGAGCTTTTTTGTCAATACCTCAATCAATCAATTGAATGTACGTGTGGGGTACACACTCTTGCACTGCGGAATAGGACGCCTTCTTTTAATATCCTGCCACATTATTAGCATGTACTCCGTATAATGTTTGGATGGAATAGGTGAAATACCTCCTCCCCGTAAGCCCGTTAATCGACCTCCCCACATCACGAAAGTTGATGATGTTGTCAAATGGACGGTCTGCGGATGATAGGTCTGGCATTATACTGTATCGTTTATGCTATGTGATGGTTTCAAGAAGAGAATAGGTGAGGTGAGAGGAGAAGTCGTGATAAGGCGATAAGGCAGACAGCGGTTGACACTAACTAACTAGTTAGTTAACCCAAATTAAGACAACCTTATCCGCAGATCCCAAGTACGGAGTAGCGGTGGACAACATACAACGTTCGACCATTACAAAAAAGTATGCTATCCAGAATTTATTACTATATGATCTAATCCAATGATATCCGCGACATCCGCCCCTGATAAGAAGTATCAGCCTCCACACCCTTCATCATATACGACTCCCGCGCAACATCCTTCCGCTTCATATTAACCATCTTCAACCCGCGATTGAAATTCACCATACAGATAATCGCACACACAAGCGTCGCCGCTGTAAATGCCAGCGCTACAAACGCAAAGAGAAGCATCATGTCTTTCCCGGCTGTGTTCGCACGTAGACCGTTCCCGCAGAGCACGATGATCCGACTGAGCAGGTAGGCGATTAGGCCTAGGTAGCATGCGACGATGGGAATCATGCAAAAGGTGCGCTCGTGCTGGACAAAGTAGATTCCGAGGACCATGATGACAAACGCGGCTGGAATGATGAGCATGGTTAGGGTGTATTCGGGTTCGTTGAAGTGCACGTCCACCAGGTCGTATTGGATGATGAAGCCGACTAGGAAGTAAAAGTCAAGTTTGATCAGGACGAGGTAGATCTGCGCTTATTAGCCCCGTTTATTCGTCCATGCATAGGGATTGAACGAACCTCATAAGCCAGATATCGCATCCGAATCTCCGAACTCCCATGCACACACTTGTAAATCGCCCACGAATACTCCCTATGCAGATAATACGCACACGGCCACAGCACAAACGTCCCCAAGCCTGTGATAACCGGGACAAGGATCTCGGCCGGCTGAATCCTCGGCCACACATTCCAGGAAGAATTCACCAACGCAGGAATCGACTCCGCGCTCCCCGCGAACAGCCCGGCGGTGGTGTTTTGCATCGAGATGCACCGCATCACAGCGAAGATGTTACTGCACACGTTGGATACGCAGATTGCGAACAGGAGGATGTTGTTCTTGTTGTGTATGGCATCGAGCGCGAGGATTACTTCATAGACACAGGCGAATACCAGGATCCCCATGCCTATCGGGACGAGGTAGGAGACGGGGACTTGGGTGATGTTGGGGGTTACCCATAATTCCCATTCCACGAGGATATACCTGTTTTGTTAGATGATTCAAGCTTGTCTCGACTGCTCGGACTTACGCTTCAAGCGCGATGGTTATAAGAGCTTGGACGGTGAGAGTCCCGCAGAACCACCATTCATTTTTAGCCGTTGGTCTATACATGGTGTTTCGTCTGGCTCATCCATTGTCGAAGAAGAGGAAGAGAACGAGAAAGTGACAACTTTTCAATATACAGTGGGTCTAACAGCTGTACACTATCGAGCTTAGAGTCGGTCATTCCGGCACTAGTTGATCCTTCTATCCTACGACAGTTCATACTGGATCCTGTGATAACTAACTAGTTAGCCCTCATGTCTCACTTGTGCTTAGTCATCGAAAGATTTTTCTCCGCCGTCAATGCATGTTTTCTCCTATTTTCTTTCTGCCTGGAGATTGATAAACAGATGGATATCCTTCCTTGACTTTGTTATATGACACCGGCGTGGCGTAGGGCGAGCGATGAAATTCGACTACCTCCCTTTTGGGTAAATTAGAATCACATATCCTTTTGTATATTAAGCATATGTACGAACATCTGAACGCTTCCACGACAAATATTACAGTGATACCATCCCAAGTAAAGACAGATCCCGAACCAAAACTATAACTAGCGCCGTACATCTTCATAGAGACGTGAAA